CTTAATAAGAAAAGCATACTTTGCAACTTTTAGAAGAATGTAAGAGAGAATGCTTGTCACTGGAGACAATTTCTTAAGGGAAAAAACCCACATAGTGTTAAGAAAGAAAAAACAAATATTCAGCATTAATATTAGAAACTTCTGAACAATGAAAGACCACAAAGATAATCCAGACTTTAAAAAGGGGGGTATTTACAACACAATTGACTAAATAAGGATTACTAGCCTTGAATATCTAAAAAAATTCTAAAAGAAATACAATCCAACAAAATAAGACTATATGCTCATATAGGCAATTCAGACAAAAAAATGGAAGAGAAAACAAATATAAAAGATGTTCATCATAACTCATAATTAAGAAAATACAAATTAAAATCACAAGGTATCATTTCATACTCATGAGAGTAGGAAAAAAATTAAAAATCTGCTAATGAGTTAAGAATATAGAATACTAAAGATAAACATCTCAGTAGAAAAATAAAAAATTCAAAGAGAAAAATATCAAATTTGTTTCCAATTCTCTTTTGATTAGCTTCCGCTACTATGAAGTTAAATATTGTGTCTCCAACTAGAGATATGAATTTAGCTATTTAATAGAAAAATAAATGAAATGATTGTTATCAATAAAATCTCGTATTGTTTGTGGATACAAAAATTCTACTTCTAGAAATACAACAGAATCTTTTACAGAGGTGGCATTGTCTACTATAGCACTGTTAGTAGCAGCAAAAATTCTAAAAGGTGAAAACTTGTAAACTTAAAAATGTGGCCAATAGGAGGATAAAGAAAATACACTTTTCCATAATCTTTGAAGTATCTACTTAACATGAACAAATCAAATCTATATAAGCATCAAGATGACCTGCTTAAATTGTGATATATGAAATAAGGTTTTCTAACAACCTTTTTAGGAGGTGAGGGGCTAAATGCAAAAGAATATGTATAGTATGCCACACAGAGCTAAAGCTTTTAATACACCATATACATATTTATATTTATATATACATGCTGCAAAAGAAAAAAAGAAAAAAAACATAGGCAAGGATAAACCCTAACCTCTAAGGAAGAGGAAAAAGAAATCAAAGAGGGTAGAGAGAAAACGATCTTCAATAGTTTCTACAATGTTTCATTGCTTTTAACTTTTATTTTTAAAACTAGGCCACTTTTAAGAAAAAAGATTGGAAAAACAGAACTTCTACTATTTCCAGGTAAAGATAAAGGATTCCCTTAACAACTAGAAGATTCTCTTTCACCAATGACACCAGCGAAGAGTAGCGACTTCTGTCCTGGTGCCATTCCCAAGGCAGTCCCAGAAAGCCTAACCAAGACTGTAATGTTTGCAGGAAATGATTTGGGTATGTTTTCTAAATGCAGATTTCAGCTCTGAACACAACTAAAAGCAAGGCAGTCTACAATCATTTGGCAAATAGACTGGGAAGAACTCATTTCAGTCTATCGGGTAGGAAAATGAAATTACATGGACTCTACACCCAAACAACAGACTATGTATCTACTTGAAAATGCAATCAGAAATCCTTCTCACAATTCGTTTTCTCAAGAGCACAGAAATTAGAGTGCAGAAATAAAACAATAATGATGTCAGTAAATACTAATTATTCCATAAAGACAAATATTACCATCATGTAAAGAATTATGCATTAAGTGTGCATATGTAAGTGTATACTAAGTTTTAAACTAAATAAAAATAAGTAAGTTCAAAGAGGCAAAATTCTACATCACAATCATTTCCAATTCTCCTTAGATCAGCCTTTGGTACTACAACTGAGAGTCATGTATTATGACTCCACAGTAAAGTAAGCTATATGATTTAGCTACTTAGTAGAAGAGTTAGCTGGCTATGGTAAATTAAATGATTATTCTCATCAATAAAACTTAGCTCAAAAATCATCATTAAACACTAAACAGATTATTACAATCCTTTGGGCCAGTTTTAACCTTTCTTAAATAGTTCTAGATTAACAGAAATCTCATATATGGACAGATTTAAGATACTAAATGGCCTTTGTTATTGTTCATAGAACAAAATCTTTAATTGATTAATGATCCTAGGGTGTCTATCGCCATCTAGTGAACAATCATTTCAATTACTACACCAGACCTTAAATAACCAAGAGTTTTTTCTTAGTTTAAATACATATGCCCATGTGGTGCTGTAGGCTTACTCAATTTCTTTTTATGCCTCTGTACACATATAGTGAGAACAACACAAATACAGATGGCATTTGTACAGATTCACTTTTGAGAGTCTATAAATGAGGTTTCCATATAACTTCTCTGAAAATATTGATTTCATTATTTTAAATAAATTGCACACTGTGAGGTCCCTCATATAATTCCAGAACCATTAACTAATTCTTCTACCACTGAGCAATTAAAAATCACGTAAGTTTAAGTATGAAAGATCACACCTGTGAAAAGACAATATTGATGCCTATTTGCCACAACTATTAACACTTTTATTATAAACCTGTTTTTAGACATACAATTAGTAATTACTCTGAGTACTCTAGCAGCCATAATACATTTGATTACAGAAATTATTAGGTCACCAGAGCCAAACCTGCATGATTCCAACAAAACTGAGCACACACAAAATAGACTTAAAAATAAAAAGGAAGGGGGGACTTCAAGGCCACCCTAGCCTTTGGCTAACAAACATTAAATACAAAATTGCATAATCTTTTTTGTAAGGGCAGGCTACCAGGTTTTCTTCTCATAAATTTCTAACTGAACCTTTAATATATAAGAACTTTAAAAGCAAAAAACTTGTAAGATCTCAGGTTATTATACTTGTCTACTTCATTACCAAAAGCACTAGTTTATTAAGTTATGAAGTATTCCAAAATCACCCCAAACTGACTCTCCTTCTACATTTCACCCCTTTCTAGCTCTTTAATTAAAAATGCTGAAAATCAGACTTAACAGTAATATAAGGAAAATGCTAACAAATTCAAAGAATCATTAGTATACTACTTCTATCTACCAGTTCCAATAATTACCACAAATACTTAAAATCATTTTGATTTAGCAAATAATTTCTTCAGAGGACTTTAGATCTTCTTCTATAATAACAGCTCCAGAGGGCCATGGTACAGTTACTATTTCTCATTAACCTCATATTAAAGGCTTACTTTACAGTTATTATTTATCATTTGTAGAGGGAAAAAAAGGAAGAATAGAAACCAAGAACTTAAATCAATTATTTCTAGATTTGTCTGAAATTCTTTAGTTTAGTGAGGTAAGCACGGATTTTTCAGTTTACTTATTAAAGATTTACTGTTCTATTTTGTATAAGAGAAAAACAAAAACTGAGTTTAAACTCCCTATTAAAAATCCAGCTAAATGAAAATAATGCCCTTAAAATACAATGGATTAGGGTACTGGGGGAGATCATTGGACAAATTTGGGGCTTATCATTATCAACAGTGCCCTTTTAAGCTTGTGGATTTCTGAGCCAATGCAGAAAATGTAACAACAGGGATTTCCCAACAGCAAGAGGCACTCTCCAAGGGAGTAAATTGTCAACTATTGCCTCTCGTGAGAAACTTAAGAGTAACCTTGATCCAATCTCAATAGTCAACCCATTTATTATCACCCAGTTGGGGCATAGTGAGTGCATTTCCTAATACAAAAATAAGATGGTACTGTATCAGAAGCCACTGGATACATGTACAGAAATAAAATTTAAATAATTTTAAAATAAACTTAGCCTAAGAAATCAAAAACATCCTTCTCTCACTTCAACTAGCCCCAAAACATCTACATTTTCCTCATGTAAAAAAGATCCAGATCTTAAAAGGAGAATCACAAAAGGTGATTTTCTAGAAATAAAAGAATATAAAGCAGAACCATAGTCATATAGGACATCCTGAGATAGAACAGACAATCCTAATGCAGGAAAAGATTTGTAAGGGGAAAGAAATGGATTCAAATTTAAAGTAGCCAGTTATCTTTTACCTCTTTAAATGTTAGTTTCTTCATTTTCAAAAAGGAAACTATTATTACCTATGTCAAAGAACTCTGCTATGTGCTTTAATACAATAAAGTACACAAAAACTTATCATATATCACTGGTGTTCAACAAATGTCTTGCCCTTCCTTATTGTGCCCTAAGCCAAGTTTCTGCCTTAGGGGTTGCCAACAGAAGAGTGACTTGAAACACTGTGATGTCTTTTCCATATATCATCTGGATATGTACTATCTAATATAGCAGCCTTTAGTCACATGCAGGTATTTAAATTTAAATTATAATTAAATAAATCTAAAAATCCAGATCCACTTGTGACTGGAGGCTACTGCATTGGATAGTACAGAAAACATTTTATTAAAGTTCTGTTGCACAGAGCTGGTCTAGACTAACACAGGGGCCAGCAAACTTTTTTTTTTTCTGAAAGTTCCAAACAGCATATATTTTAGGCTTTGCAGCCCATGTAAAATTCCACCTTGACTACTCAGTTCTGCTATTACACAAAAAAGTCATAGATAACATATAAATACAATTGACTTTGTTTTAATAAAACCTTATTTACAAAAATAGCAGTCTGGATTTGGCCCCCAGTCTGCTCTAGAGTATTTTGAGTCCGGATCCCCAAAACAACATTCTTCCCATAACTACTACTAGGATCACCTGTAAGACAGGGCAGCCATAAATTCAGATGGGAAAAATAACAATGGAATTAAGTAGACTGAATAATTAACTTTTCTTTTACAAAAAAAGCCTCATGTACACTTAAGCAGATGAAGCTTATAGTGTTTGTAATCTGACACTACCTGGCCACAGACGTTCAATAAATACACACTCACACATATACGAATACACAGGATTGATGAATTGATATTTAAATGCCTACTTTTCTCATAGTGGTTCTAAAAAGGGATATCTGAAATGGAATAATCAGGTAACAAACTTGGCTCTCACACACTGTAACATGCATAGTTTAAAATGCACTCATATTTAGATATGGTATTATTACATTTACCTCTCTTCCTTTGAATGTCACCAAGGCAGCTAGTGGTTTGGCGTAAAACCTGCTGTAGGAAAATCCCAGGCAACCATACATACTGTTCGCTGTGAGCTTCAAAGCCTTCTGTCTAATGTCATACTGCAGGTCACAGAAGAACAAAAGATAAACAACAATATTTAGAAAAGTTTAAGCATTATATTAGTTATCTTTCCACATCACCAATAAGGAGAACCCCCTTGATATCTCTGGGGGAAAAAAGAGCTTTTAATTAAAATAGCCAACCTGTTCTCCCAGATTCACAATGTCCCAACCTCCTAAGAGTAGTTAAATACAGACTTCAAAACTCCTAGAATTCAGAAAGATCCTGCTTAGATACAGCCTTTGCAGACAGAATTGACTTGTATTCTGAGGTATTCTAGTGTTGAATGGCTACCTTTCCACAAGTAAAATAAGCACATGCACTTGCACACAGTGTCCTTTATACCTATCAAACTGTTAAAGCTAAAACTGTCATTCAGAAGTCTTGTAGTGAAAAGATATACCTGAAGAGCAAGGTCTGGATTTAAATCTTGTTGCTTCATTAGTTGTTTCACTTGTTTTCTCCTCTCTACCAGCTTCCGGATCTCTCTGGGCAAAATGCCCATTTCTAAGCTTGCATCTGGCAACTCAGGGATCTGTTCTTCTTCACCATCCTGATATACACATGAGAAATTTCAGACAAGTTAAATTTTGGTAAGATAAATTTCTAATATTTGGTAGGAACATCATCCCATGTTCATGTCTTAAGTGTCTTTGTTGTACGAATAAAGATCAAAAATGTTTGGGCAATATAGGAAAGAACTGAGTGGGTTGCAAGCCACTGCCCTTTTCTCCACACAATTCTATCAGCCTATCCTTCCCACCATCTCCCCTGCAGTTAAATAAGCACATGCACTAATTAAGGGTCAGATTTTCACTCGTACTACCATCCTCTCTTCAACAAGATGGAGGAGCAACATGTTTGGGAAAATTGTTTTTAAAATAAAAATGCTCAGACTTCTAGGATGAAAAAATAACAAGCTGCTAAATGATCTTAAATCATTTGTACAATCAAAGAAAATGCTACAGAATTTTGAAACTATCATAACAATTGTTATAAATGTTTTAGACTAAAAATAAAAAGCTAAATACTAAAATGAGCAAATTTCTTTTAAGAATATGGAGCACATTTAAATAGGCCATGACATTTTCTAAAAATTAATAAAACATATTCCTTAACATTTATATAGTACCTTTTTTACCTATAAATTGCTTGGCAATTGGCAGAAGAATAGCAACATTTTAGAAAGCAACCAGCAGTCTTCTTAAAATTTAAAGCAGAAAAAAGCAAGAAAAGCATTAGACCATTTTTCCTGAAGGTTCTATTAATTCTATTAGCAGTCTGCAAAGAAAAGCCAGGCACATTTGCCCTTTCAAACATTCAAAATTAAAAATAAACCTCTTGGCTTAAAGTATGTCAAGTCAATACCATCTGATGACCCAGTCTCTACAAATTGTCCTGATTTTATAAAGATCAGTATCTTCAAGAATAAACATGCTTTCAATAGTAATAGGGAGCCTGGGGGTATAGTTCAGTGATATGATGTCTGCCTGGCAAGCACAAGGTCCTGAGTTCAATTCCTGGTTCCAAAAAAAAAAATGTAATAGGGACCTATTGTTTTCCAGTGTAGCACATAATGATCACAGAGCTCCTAAAGAGATACTGGTATACATTTCAATTTATTTACAGCAATGATGGGAGTCAGATAAAAAGTTAACTCAAAGGATCTAAAGTCAAGAAATTTATAATCTACTATCAGCTCTACAAATACTATCTATGGAACACTAACTATTCTGCAGATCAAATAAGGTACTGAATGTGAAAATGACAACAGAATCTCTAAATTGCTACTTGTATTTGTTAGATGACCTCTAAGGTCCTTCCACTCTGAAATGATTCTATTATATATTCAGAATTCAAACCGGAAAGCTCAAATAAACAAAACAATGGTAAGCAGCAGTTGGGGAAGCAGTCTGGATAATAATTACCACAGCTCTGATATGGTAGCAGGACACAGCCCTAAAAACATTGATGGAAGGCAGTTACTATTTCGTGGGGTGTCTACCCAGTACCTTCTCTGTAAAATTATCTTCTAGTCCCCCAGATTTGTACTCTGTGAAATACTCCTTTAGTCACAGGTGATGGGAACAGGGATGCTCATTGATCTAGGCAAGCTGATCAAATTCTCCCTTTGGAAATGTACAACTGTAAGTGCAAATCTGTTCCTAGGCAGGTGGCTGAAAGTAACTGATATGCAAATTAAGGAGCCAGAGGGCATAAAGACATCTTCAGCTAGGAAAGGAGGAAGTTAGGGGGAGGGGGAAGGAAGGAGGGCAAGAATAAACAGAATGTGAAAAATATTCCTATCCCACATGCAGACAGGAATATTATTCAGCAATACAAAGGAATAAGAAACTAATACATACCACAATACAAATGAACCCTGGAAACACTATGTTTAGTGAAAATATACCAGGTACAAAGGGCTATTTATTGTATGTCTCCACCTATCCAAAATGTCCAGAATATGTAAATCTATACAGGCTGGGAGAAATAAAGGGAGTGAAGGAGATGACAATTAAAAGGTTTCTTTGGAGAATAATGAAAATGCCGTAAAGTTAAATGTGGTGATGGTTGCAAACACTGAATACAAAAAATGTCATTACTGTATACTTTAAATAGATGGCTGGTATAGTATGCCAATTATACCTCAATAACCCTGTTGTTAAAAAGACACAGAACCAGTCTGAGTCTCCTCTTGCCCAGCCCTTCTTTTTGACAACTACAAAAGAGCATAATTAATGTACCCTTTAAGAGGAAAAATTAGAATACTAACCACTATTGCTCTCTTCCTGCTTTAAGTAATACTTTTTTTGTTGCTACTTTTTTTTGTTTGTTTGCAGTATTGGGGATGGAACTCAGGGCCTTCACACTGAGCTTCAACCCTAGCCTGTTTTTGTGTTGGGTTGTTTTTTGTTTTTGTTGCTGTTTTTTGTTTCTGAAGCAAGGTCTCCCTAAATTCACTAAGTTTCCCAGGCTGGGATCAAACTTGCAATCCTCCTGTCTCAGCATCCCAGAGTCCAGGGATTACAGTACATGCTATCATTCCCAGCAAGCAATACTTATATACACAGATCTCAAGAGCTCCCAGCAGAATACCAACCTCTGCAGCTTTCTGTAACTCCGAAGCAACTCTCTGTACTGTTGTAAAACAAATGTTAAATTCCTGAATGATGGAAGGATATAAACTATTGAAGTCCAGGAGCAAAATGAATTTATCATAAAAACCTAAAATAAAAAAAGGCACAATCATAAAGTCTCAAGAAAAGCATTATCAAAACGTCACATCAGAAGTACAATATAAGGTATAGTAGAAACTCCATACTATCCAGGCACCATGAAGCAGACAAAACAAAAAAGTCAACTATCACATCACAAAATGACTTCGATTAGAGTGAATACCCAGATCACAAAAGGAGAAGTCTGAAAAAATTTTGTTTCTCCTTGGAACCAGTTATAACCAGTTCTTTACCCATCAGTCCCAAAGGGTACCACTACTGTTTTTCTGTTCTTTTTTTCCAGTACCGGGTATCGAACTCACAACCGCCTGCTTGCAAGGCAGGTGCTTATGCCGCTGAGCTAAATCCCCAGCCCCTAGGGTACCACTACTGTTGACAAATGCCATCCCATGTCAATTATATTACAGAGGCATCATATTCACTTTAAAAATTTGCTCTTAAATTTTCCATCAAGCAAACATTCCTTCCTACCTACTGTACTCCAAAATAAACCCCAATGAGTGGTTACACTTATTTTTTTTTACAATCAGACCTTCTAAGAATGTAACAGCCAACCCACTTATCCATATACTGTGCTAAAAATCAGACAACAGATGTATATATAAATGTCAGTAGTGGAACGATACACCCTTTTAACTTGCAAAGGGTGAACAGAAAGCTACTATATTTCTCTAGGACATTTATAAAGTGTTATCTTCACCTTGAGAAGAAACTGAATAAAAATAAATGTCCACTATTAAGACAATACTAATAAAGACAAATATATAGACAGCTTACACTGTGTCAGACACTATGCCAAATAATTCATTTATTCCTTAAATCACTCCATGGTAGATTGTATTTGTATTTGTTTTGCAGAAGAGGAAACTGATGTTTACAGGTTAAACAGGCATCTCAAGATCCCAAAGTCAGCATTCAAGTACAGGTCTAACATCAAAGTACTACTGCTCCGTGTCATTTCAATTAAATTTCTCTTGTCAAAAAAGTCTCCTGTATGAGGCCCCAGTTCGATCCCCATCATCTCCACCAAAAAAAGACTCCTATTCAAAGTGTTAATTGATAAAATTCACATTAATTTCTGCCTGTGAAAATAATTATCAGTGCCTTGGAAATGGTTAACTTCAAAAAAATTTTATTTCTAGCTTGGTATGCCACAAAACATCTGTTATTCTTAACAGGGTAGGGGCTGGGGATTTAGCTCAGCAGCATAAGCGCCTGCCTTGCAAGCAGGCAGTCATGAGTTCGATCCCTGGTACCGACAAAAAGGAAAAAGACAAAAAAAAAAAAAAACAGGGTAAAGTGATTATCCTGTTAACATTCAATTTGGTAGTTTCTAGAACACTGGGCAGAGGCAAAGTCCCCCTCCCCCTGCCCTGCACCCACAAAATAAAGGGAAAACAGGTGCTCCCACCACAGAACAAATAACCATCTTCACACTGGATCAAGGTTTGGCAAACTATGTGGAGACCAAATCCAACCTGCTGGCTATTGCACTACTGCTCGTAAAATAAGCATCTTTACATTTTTAAGTAACTAGAAAAGATTTAAAAACAGTATTTTGAGACATAAAAATTGTATGAAATTTGAATTTCAATGTTCATTAAAAAAACCTGGAACACAACAAAAGCATTTACATTTATTCTATGTCAGGTGACTGGCGAACAAGATTTTCACATGCATAAAAGAAATAAATCCATAGTGAGATTTATCTGCTGATCTCCAAGACACAATTCAAGTCTTCTAGTTTCTTAAGTCTAGATATGCAAAGAAATTCCTCAGCTCTAGGGGCAAAACAAACCACTAGTCATCCTTACCAACTTTGGGATCCAAAACCAAGCCTCCAGAATAAGCTGCCTTCTTGCGCCCTTTCTTGTATTTACTGGTATCTCCATCAATTTCTTCTTCTTCATCGCCCTAATGTCAAATAAAAAATAACTTCACTAGCCAGCAACTAATTTGCTAATTGATAACATTTATTATTTCCTCTTCTCCAATTATACTACTATGGTTTTTGGTACCAGAAATCGAACTTAAGACCTTGTACTTGCCAGGCAGGCACTGTGTCACTGAGCTAATATCCCCCACCATGCAGTACTAAGTTTTAACCTATATTATTTATTTTTAGTCAGTGGTGCTACCTGTGGGGAAAGACAGTTATAATATATTCGGAATCCAAATGAATGACAAGCATGGTAGTTGCCTAAACAAATCCCATGAGTTAACGAACATACAAATTCTATTCTTACATGTTCCTGAATTCATGAAAATTCTGTATTTGTAAATCAATGAATATTAAAAATGTTTTTTATATTATAAAAAATTTGATATGGCTCTATACATTACTTTAACACTAATAATGTAGAAATGTAAAATGTTTCATTGGGTATTATCACTATTCTTTTTTTTTTGAGACAGGCTCAGTTGGGCCCAGTGGGCCCAGTTGACCTCAAATTTATAATCCTTCTGCCTCAGCCTCCCAAGCAGTAAGATGAGGGGTGTCACTATACATGGCACATTAATGTTTTTGAGATAGGAATTTCTGTTTTCCATGGTGGCCTACAACTCCTAAACTCAGCTGATTCTCCCACTTCAGCCTCCCAAGGAACTAGGACTAGGAACTAAAACATATCACCACACTGAGCTTATTCTTACTATTAGCATAAATACCTTAAAATTAATGTTCATATTCTGAAAATCCATCCCCAATGGTCAATAGTCAATACTGTTTCAGACGTTAAATAATTCCAAATTAACAAATGCTGTGACAATTTTGATAATGTCACAAATCAAGCAAACATAATAACCTGAATCATCTTTTAACATTCAATCCCATTCTAAATCAATCACTATCAATGCCAATAAAACAGCAAAGCTAAGTTTTAGTTCCAATGCCATAAAAGTCACTCCAGAAACTTGATTGTACTGATCATAATCATACAGGTTCAATATTCCCACTCTGAAAATCTGAAACATTTTGAGTATCAACTTGATGCTACAAGTAGAAAACTCCACACCTAACCTCATGTGACAGATCCTGGTCAAACCTATGTGTACTCTAACGTAGCAAATTACTTGCAGGCTGTTTGGATAAAGTGTAAGCTGGGTGTGATGGCACATATCTGTAATCCCAGCATTTGGAAAGCTGAGGCAGGAGAATCATTTCAAGTCTGAGACTAGCCTGGGCTACAAAGTGAGCTCAAGGCCTGCCTGAACTGCTAGTGGGACTTTGCCTCAAAAAGATGGAAGGAAGGAAGGAAGGAAGGAAGGAAGGAAGGAAGGAAGAAAGAAAGGAAGAAAGAAAGAAAGAAAGAAAGAAAGAAAGAAAGAAAGAAAGAAAGAAAGAAAGAAAGAAAGAAAGAAAGGTTAAATGAATTTCATAATTAAACTTGCATCTCATCCCCTAGATATATCATTATCTATATGTAAATATTCTAAAACCTAAACAAAATCTGAAACTCTTTCAATCCCAAGCATTTCAGATTAGGGATACTCAATGTTTACAGAAAAATACAACATAAAATAAAAGACTGATAGGTTTAGGGAAACAGTGATTTAACTGACATTTAGCTCTTAGCAGGGCTTAGGCAATGAAACACTTTCCATATACGGTCCTTTATCAGAGAATCTAAATGCTGCCTTCAAAAAATTTTATTTCATAAATAATTTTGTCTTTATAGAGAAAAGCAGAGGAGACAACCACACAAATACAAACACAAACAGAACACACTTGACGTAGTTTTCTAGTATACAGAGGATTAATTATTTTGGAAGCAGATGTTATCACAGCAAAAAAAGCTATGTAGGTAATAAAAAGGAGGGATAAGAAAAGGCAAAATACTGTGCAATTTTGGACCCACCAGTTTTTGCTGAGGCTTTCTGAAAATCTGCTTGTCAGGCACAATATAGTTGTTTTCATAAAATGCATGCAGCAACAAGAACTCGTTACGCTCCGAGCGTCCACCCATCAGTGTCCTGGACTATTAAATAGAATTTTTCTTTAAAATTTGAGCTCAAAACTACAACAAACAAAAGCAACTCTGAATTGGTTTATTTAATCATGATGCCTCCTCAAAACTACTAACAACAAAGGCTGCTTTTAAAAATATATGAAATTATTTTTAACACTTTAAGCTCTATAGTTAAAGGAGACAAAGAGAGCTTAAAATATTGACAACTTGGCTATTTCCTTACTCCAAAATGGATTATTCCACCAGACACATCCAGATGTTAGAGATGATCCTTATTTTTGCCCAAATTTCAACACACTGCACCTGGCATTCCTCCCCCTCTCCCAACCAGTTCTTCCTTTTACAAAAGAAACCCAGCTTTCAGAATCCAAGTTACTCATTTTATAAGCATGCATTTAGACTCATTATCATATAACAAGTACCCCAAGCAAACACTGAATCCAACAGGAAATGCTTTTTCCCCCTAAGTTAAATTTACCATAATGTTTCCAGCGATGTTAGTGATCTGCAATGCTAATGGAAGAACATTTAGCTCACACATGATCTGCAAAATGAACTTGGCATCTTTCCAGGTGTGTTCCAACAGGTACAACAGATGAGAAGATTCACTGTACAGAAAAGTAAGAATGAAACAGAATCAAGTAATTAAAAGAAACAATGACTATAATCAGAACTTCATATAATATCAAGAAATTTTTGGTATAACTTACTTCAGAGCAACAAAACCTTGGCTTTAGAAATGATTTAAAATAAGATCAGCATATAATTAGGAATTCATTCATAGCATTGATCCTAGTGCCCTTCTCTGAAACACATGCACACAATAATTTCATAGTGATATGTTAACTACAAACCTGAAAACTACCTAAATCGTTTCAGTCATTCAATTAAATGAGTGTGTACTGCATGTTTATTGTGTCAGGCACTGGCTGTGACCAAAACAGAAATTCCTGTCCTTATGGAGGGGACAGAGTATAATACATAACAATTAAATATGGTATGTTATATGATGCTAAGTGCTAAGAAGCAAAGAGAATATAAAATATCAGGAGCAGAAGCTAAACTTTTAGTTAGAGAACTCAGGAAAATTTCACTGAAAATAAAGACCTAGAAGAAGTGAAGGAGCAAGCTTTCTGGGTGGAGATGTGAGGGAAGAGCATTCTGCAAAGTAAGAATAGCACATTCAAGGGCCCTGAGCTGAGCAGTTCCATCACATGGAAGGATATCAATAAGGCTCAATCAGAGAATGATGCAGAGAGTAACAGAAGATAAGGTCAGAGTTAACAAAACAGAGCTACTGGGAGATATTGAGCAGATTTAATTTTAGGAGGATAATTCTGGTCCTGGGTTGAAAACAGATCCCAAGGAGATGAGCACAAAAGCAGGGAGATAGTATATAAAACCGAGTACTATGGTTTGAATATGGTTTGACCCCTCTGAAATTTAGGTTGAAGTTTAATCCTCATCGTGAGGTATTATAAGGGTGAAAACTCAAGTAACCCATAACTGAAAACCAGTGGCTTTATAAAGAGAAAGTAAAGACCAGAGGATACTGACTTGTACCCTCTGTCACTAATGCTCTAATGCTCTGTACCACACCTCAGTTCTCCTGGGGAAGAAGGTCATCATTAAATGTAGCTCCCAAACAGTAAGGCAAACTAAATCTCCTTCCTTTAAAACTTATCCAGTCTGGAGCACTGTGCTTTTAGTAACAGAAAACAGATGAAGATATCCAGTAATCCAGGGGAAAGAAGATGGTGGTTTGGACCAGAATGGGTCCAATGGAGGTGAAAAGAAGTGGTCAGAGCTAGATATATTTAAAAGATACAGCTGAAAGAATTCCCTGATGGATCTACTGTGTGATGTCAGAGAGTGGAATCAAGGTTGCCTCAGGGGTTTTGAGTAGAGGATGGATGAGTTTAGAGGTTTCCAATCATAATGGAAAAATAGAGTGGCCATTAGTTTAATAAAGAAAGACACAGAAAAAACCTCGAGGGAGAAAATCAGAAACTCAGCTTTCACAAGTTTAGTTTCGTATTAGATACCACATAACAAAGGTAGGTAGCTACATGAATCTAGAATTTCAGAGTGGGGAAGTCCCAAACTGAAGATAGGTAAGAGGCATCAGTTTATACACAGTATTAAAATCCAGGACCTGATGTGATTATCTAAAGTGGGAACATAATCAAAAAAGAGCACCAGCCCAACGACTCAGGAGAAAAAAGCAGAAAAGCATGAGAAATGGCCAAAAAGAGAGCAAAAACATTTAAGAAATAAGCAAGACTGAGGATACTGCTCAGTGGTAGAGTATTTGCCTAACACGCACAGGCCCTGGGTTTGATCCCCAGCAAAGAAAAGACAAGACAAGACAAGAAAAAAGAAAAGAGAGCGAGCTGAGAATACAGCTCAGGAGCACAGCACCTGCCTGGCAAGTGTGAGGTTGTGAATTCAATTCCCAGTATGAAAAAATAAAAAAATAAAAAAGAGAGAAGAGGAAAGACAGAAAATAAAAACAGCAAGCAATAACTACAAACAATTTAATGATTTCTCAATTTTTAATTTCCAAAAAAATATACTAGTTCCTGAATAAGTGAATTAAGGGCAGGGATTTAAATTCATATCAATTTGGGGGCTGGGAATTTAGCTCAGTGGCATAAGCGCCTGCCTTGGAAGCGCGCAGTCACGAGTTTGATCCCTGGTGCTGATTTTAAAAAATTAATAAATAAATTCTAATTAATTTAAAATTAATAAATCAATTTCCAAATTACTATTATGAAACATCAAGAGATTATGACAGGCAAGAGAGGTGGAGATAAACTGATCAAATAACTCAAGAGATAAACCAGTTCAAATAATGAAAGTAATGGACACAGTGGTGCTGGCATGACTAATTTTCTGCTCCATGGCACCCAACGATGACTCATGTCCCTCTAGCATGAGGATAGTAAAGGGCATCCATCCTACTGTTGCTAATTTCAAGACTGACAAGTTCTGACAAAGCCAGGCTCATACCTATACATATTTCGCATATTTTCCACTGGAATTATAATTCTTTCAGTTTTTAGAATCTGTTGAACAAGTTCTGACAAATGGTAGCTTTTACAATGAATCAATTCCTTTGCAGAAATTTCCACATCACAGATCATTCGGCCACAGGTAGCATTTCTTTCACCAAATCCACTCCGGCTCTACAACACAGGGCCAAACAGAAAACCCATGAAAAGAAGAAACACCAGTTATCCTATTTTGAAGTTAGCACCAAAAAGTCCAATGATAAATTCTTATTCTTCCATTTATCAAATATTTTTTTAACACTGGCTATATATCTGATACTGTTCTGGCCACCTGGGATACACCAGTCAAAAAAATAAAGATTAAAGACTTCATTTGAGATACACAAGAAGTAACCATTACATAGGTTTAAGAGGTTAATAAATATATGGCAAGAGAGAAAATGGAACAGGGTAAGAGGGATAACGAATTTGGGAGGACTGCATCTTAAATAGAGTGATCAAGATAGATCTCATTAAAAAATTACATAAAGAAAAACTTAGAGGCAAAGAGCTAGCAACTTAGATGAAGTGCTAATAATGAATGACTTAACAGTTTACAAGATATGAACATGAGTTCGATCCTCGGTACCAATAAAAAGGAAAAAGACAAAAAAAAAGATATGAACAGGAAAAGACATAAGAATAGTAGTCCCAACTCTGATCCATAGCAGTAGAATCCTCTAAAGAGCATCATAAAAGGCATCGATGTCTAAGTTCTCTGATGAGGCAACATTCTATTTTTAAGTCTTACATAAAATAAGATTGTAAGTACTAGGCAATACCAGGCTTAAGTATTAAGGTGCTCCACGTAAAAACCACCAAAACCTCCCCATATGAAGCAAGCAGGGAGAATAAAAAAAAAGTATGAGCTGTAAGAGTCCATCAGAATCTGGGTTCAAATCTCAGCTGTTCCCTTTATTAGTTACATGACTTTGAGCAAATTAAAAGTATGTTACCTTTCTGAGAATACCTGTATAAACCTGAGTTGCTATAAGAGGTAACTACAACAAAAAGCACTTATCCCACTGCTTTCTTATACTCCACATCAAATCTCTTCTATTCATTCTTCCCATCCTCTTCCTAGACATGGAGACTATTATCAAGTAATATGTAGGTGCTTTCTTTGTTCACTATTCCTTGATTCTAATTGCTGACTTTAAAAACTATCATTGGTTTTCACAAATAAAATGCTACATTCAAAGACAAAGACGGTTAGTGCCAAAATTAAAATGTAATGAAGTTTCTACAAGACAACCAATTCATATTTTAAAAATTACATTATGTCCCCTGGTAGCTTACCCCAAAGAAAAAAGCCAAATGAGAAGTAGTATTTTGAGAATTATTATTACCCCAAGCTTTGGCATGTTGGATCGCTTCAGTCGACCTATCTTGGACCAGTGAGGAACTTTGCACACATTAATTCTCTGCAGCAGCACTTCCAGTTCAAACCCATAAATATTATGACCCTAGTCAGAAAAAGGAGGCAGCCAATAACATTATAACAAACGCAAATTAGAGGATGTATCTTCAAATGCACAGAATTTCTTTGCCCTTTCTTTTTCTGGTCTCTAATTGAAAACATCATGAGCTTACCTCCGATTGTGGGTCCTTTCTTCTTGAGGAATTTATTCATCAGCAGCATTCATTAGCCTTGACATTAACAAGGCTGCTACACAGATTGCTGGAATAAACTTTATTTTATACTAATTGATGCAAGGTTCATATGATGTCTTTTAATTTGCAGCTCATGCCTCACAATCTGAGGCAAATGCAAATCTTTAATGTTCCACATGTCTTAGATTATCAGTAAAAGCTACATTTAAAAATTCCATTTTGATTTCTTAAATACAAAGGGCCCACCTATATTGTGTGACACCTGACATAAGACCTCTTAGAAAACTCTGGAACTGCATTTGGCTTCTTCTTTAAAAACTGAGTTTAAACTCTACTGACTTAAAGCATTAATCAATGTACAAAATACGAGAAACTTACAAACAAGGAAACAAAACTACAGAGTAGAAAATAACTCAAAAATGCACCAAATTTTCCATTTCTATAATGATTTCCAATTTTCATGTAAATAATATTTACATGCCTGTTTATTAAAAATAGATGGTTTAAAATAATTCAGACCAATAAAAATATAGGTATCCACAGCATAATTTGATCCATTAAGCCAGGGGAAAACAAGACAAAACAGGTATTTGTATTATGAAGCTTCTGAACAAAGGAAAGCCAAAGGATATACAAAAGCAAAAATACTGTCTTATGGCTTTTAGGAACTGGGGCAAAATGATTTGATGATTAGCTCTCGTTTTTATTAGAAAAATAGTGACAAGGGGAAAAATTCGTAGTTTTGAGCTCTCAAAGGAATATGCATAGAGATCTGCTGCGGTCATAAATTAAAATACTTAAGCTTTGTGATTTGCACCATTGCAAATTAAATTCCTGAGGCCACTATACTACTGGGCCACTAAGCAAAAATTTTGAAGATACTAATATTTTACGCATACTCACTTACTGATGTGCTTGTCTCTAAGTGTAAACAACTAGAATATCCTAAACTTCAACAATTATGCAAGAGTTGCTTCATATTGGAAAAATTATCTTATAGTAGGCTAGGATTTCCTCTCCCTTTCTTTTAACAGAAAGTACAGCAATTCTTACCAGTCCATAGAGTTATTTCACTGAAAATATTCTTCAGTGCTCAAAACTAAGTAACCAATAAAAGTTAAGTAACAAATGAATTACACTGAGAAGAGCCAAAGAATGAAGAATTTTACCACATGATCGATCATCTACTTACCACAATGATATCAGGATCAAGTTTGTGAACTTTTGCAAGGAAAAAACCTAACAGTGTTCTTTCTGTTTCAGCAACCTCAACCTTCAGCTTCTGCTAGATAAAAAACATATTAATCACTGACTATTGAAAGTGCTGTAGCTTGACTTGTTTAACAAGGATGAAATTTCTTAGGGTTAAAAGAAAGCACTCTTTGCAAAACTAAATGCAGCAATGAAATTTCTGAGTACAGGTTTTATAATAATAGTTGCACAAAGTCTCTGAGGAGCTCATTCTAATAAAATGCACATGAATAAAGAAAAACAGTAAGTGTCAAGTAACATCAAGAGCAAAAATGTCCTTCCACAGAGACACGTTTGTGCATTGGACACATTTTAAAGCATCTAAATCAGAGTATCTTTCAAAACATTACTTACTTTCCTATATAATCCCTGGTAGACTTCACTGTTTATATATTTATCAGGGAAAGAAATTCTAAGGATTTTATCAACTAATTTCAAGTAGTGGTATAAGAAGAAATGAGAAACTAGACTAAAACAAACATATATTTGAGAATTACAATGTTTCAAGTATAAATAAAATCTATCTTCACACAAAAGGCTTCAACCTAAATTGCATATAAATCAGATATTTAAAAGATCAGCTGTTATTAGAAATCTCTTAAAAATGAAAATTGATCGTTGTTTTCTACAGCTAGCTTGATTTACAAAAAGGCCATTTAGACTAAGAGAATTCTCCCGGGCCATTTTACTTGAATAAGTAATTGACGGCATGTCATAAATGATATTCTAATCTAATAGTACACCCCAGCTACTGGGTTTCTCAAGCTAATTTAAAATAACTTAAGTGGAACCTGGCATTGTTACTTTAATTTTGGCAAGTAAGGACAAACAAAAGTATAAATGTATCAACACACTGTTTCACAAAAGAAACAAGCTACTTTCTCCCCAAAAAGAAATTCTTCCAAATGCATTCACGTTTGTGAAAAACTCACTACATTATACTCTCCCCTATTCCCCAACACCTCCATGAAACTCTAGTATGCACCATGAAAACTTCTTCATGGTGCATACTAGAGTTTAGAAATCAATGATCAATTATGGCTAGGCTATGTCAACCTTGCCAAAACATGGCCCTTTAATAGCCAGAGTTCCAAACTTCATTTGGTGTCCCACACGCTGGGCAGGTGCCTTATCCAATACCTTCTAAACTAGTAATCATATCATCATTCATTTTGGAAAAGCTTCCAATGAAGCTATATGAAGGTAGGTTTGGGCCTATCTACCTATTGATACAATGCACAACTCCATTATTTCCAGGTGCTAAAACATTTAAACACTGTTAGATAATGTTTCTAGTTTTAGATTTCTAGTATATTTTAATGGGTTAACTCGTTCTGCCAACTTGAACCACCAGTGGTACATGTGCAACTGTCCCACTGGCTAGCTTCTACTACTGGTGCTACCTGCAGAATTGTCCCATCAGGTGGCTTACACTAATGGTGATACAAATGGATCTAATCACTTTTATTCATCTTTTTACTAATAAAATAAAGTCTATGAATAGACCAAATCTAGTTAGTTGTTTGAATTTCAACAATTACTGCCCAAGTATAAATATTAATACTATTCAAACCAATTCTAAAATATTACAATAATCAACATGGATTTATATCATTAAATTAAAAGAAATTTGTTTATATTCATAAATAGTTTATCAATAATTCTCTAAATTTTAACATGGAAATCTTAAAAGTATGCCACTCTTGGTACATATGTTTACAACTGTTGTACCACAAATCAGCTACATTACAATTTTATTACAGCATTTTAATAGTTTCCTTAAGAAATGATGACATCTTGCCTGTCAATTCAATGCCTTTCTTTGCATTACTATAATCAAAGACTTCCCCTGAGAAGCAGTACAAGCTGCCTGATGGGACAGTCACGCATGTACCACCAATGGCTCAAGCCCAAAGGAACAATCAAATTCAAATCAGAGCCACCCAGCAGTGAGACAATACAAATTATGGCTATCATGAAAGTGTTCACACTGCACTGCAATTTAGCAAGACTCAATCTAATAAATTAAAACACAGAATAGCCTGTTTCTACTAGCCTATACTACCTATTCTCTTTCCAAACAGATATTTCACATTTAAAAGGAATAAACAATGAGTTCTTTACCTTTTTCTTAATGACTTCTTTGAAAGCACATGGAAAAATGCAGTCCTTTGGCTTAGACACAACTGTGAAAAGGAAGATTCCAACACCCACCTTAGTCCAATTTCAAGTAAATACAATGTGTTTTTCCAAATGTAAATTATATTAAAGATATATAAACTTTTCCCCAATCCCTAAAGATTAAAGAAGGTCAAGCACTAGCCACATAGTTGGGCCTCAAAATAGCTAAGCACAGACTACTATTGTTAAAACTGCTTTTTCTATCCACCAAAGTCAGAATGGACTGCAATATTCTTTCCTGAAGGAAATATTTCCAACATCAAAAATCAGCACATGATAGAGGACTTCATTTCAAAGTTCTCAAAACTGGGAAAGCAAAACTTCCCCTAGCACCATTAAGTTCCCTGCCATATATAACAGCTTTTTGTTTTGTTTTGTGTTTGTTTGTTTGAAACAAGGTCTCACTACATAGTTTACGCTAGCCTCGACCTCATGGCTATCCTCCTGTCTTAGCCTCCTCAGTGTTGGGATTACAAATACATTCAGCTTTTTTATTTGTTTGTTTGGCTGGTTGGTTGGTTTTTTGGGACAAGGTCTCACTTTGTAGTTCAGGCTGGCTTTCAACTCACTACGTAGCTCAAGCTGGCCTTGAATTCACAGTGATCTTCTTGTCTCTGCTTCCCAAGTGCTTTTACAGGTATGCACCACCCTACCCAGCCACACCTGACTCTTAAAACATTTTGCACAGTGATATACACACAGGTGAATAAATACATGTTGAAATGAGCTGATAAGTGCTCTTTTCCACATATTTTCCAGACTATCATCAGCATTTTGTTCCATGTGTCCCACCCACTTAAGGGACAAAACTTTGTAATAATCATACTACATACTCTCTTCCTTACCTATTTCCTAGTACCACTTTCCAAATACAGCACTGAAGAAACCAGCCAGGAGAGACTGCTAAAGTTACCCTTTGGTTCTGGGCCAAAAAAGAACCCAGTAAACATAATAGAGCAATGGTGGTATTCCTTATCCCCACTTTTTAAAAAAACCGAATCATTATTTAACTGACCAAATCCTCTACATGGAATATGTCAGAATCTCGCTGCAAACTGGCTCATAAAACACAGATGCAGAATTCTGTAAGTCTGTTTCACCTATTAAACCTTACACATTGGGGCTAGGGATTTAGCTCAGTGGCATAAGCACCTGCCTTGCAAGTGTGTGGTCATGAGTTCAATCCCTGGTACCGATAAAAAAGGAAAAAGACAAAAAAAATTTTTTTTAAATTTTATACATTGCACAACTCAATTCCAATTTGGTATTTATGATAACTCTTCCCAAACAGGTAAACATTCATTTATTCCTTGGCATTTTGTCTCATTACACAGAAAACTGTGGCCAGTAAAACTTGTTTCCATAGCTGAAAACAACCTTCTTTAACAATACACACTAGCCTTGAAAAATAATTTTTGAAAAACAAGTTACTGATGTAATAGCTTAAAAAGTAGCAAAACTCAAATCAAGCTGTTTAGTCAACCAGCTTTAAAAATACATACCACAAAAGTGTGACTGAAAGGGAGGCTGTGGCGGTGCTTTATCTAACATAAAACTGTGATGGACCAAAGCTGCTATAGCGATAATCTGCAAAGAGAGGAGAGGAAAAACTCACTTAACAGACTATATATTCTATATATTCTGTGTTCTAACCAAAACCACCAAGAATATAAAAAGTACATATTTTAATACATACGAATACTTAACTTTTTTATTATGAAATAAACAAATTTTAAAATGGAGAAAAAAATACAATAAAATTAACTTACATATAACCATCAACCAGTTTCAACTGTCAACTCATATATAACCCTACCCACTTCCTGCCTCCTTCCAGAATATTTGAAGCAAATCTCAGATATATCATTTTATCAAGAAATATTTCAGCATAAATCTCTGCAATAGAATTTTTCAACCTCAGGATTTTGGTGAAACAAATTCTTTCTTTTTTTTTTCCAGGCTGGTCTTGAACTCACTATGTAACCCAAGCTGGCCTCAAATTTGCAGCAATCCTCAGGCCTCTGCCTCTCAAGCACTGCAATTAATAGGCATGAACTACCATATCTGGTCATTTAATTCTTAAACATCCAATGCACTGTAAGATATTTAGCAGCATCCTCAGGCTCTACCCACTAGATCCTAGTGGCCGATGATCCATCTTCCATCCCTTAATCCCCAAATTATGACAACCAAAATGTTCCAGACAATGTCATGTCTCCTTAGAAGCAAAATCTCAACCTGTTGAGAACCACCACTCTGAAAGTTTTTAAAATGTAATCACAACACAATTAACTCACCTAATACAATTAACAGCAAATCTTAAAATCATTAAGTATCCGGGAGGAATTTAAATTTTCATGTATTCCAAATTATTTCAATTTTATTTACCAACTAGGGTCCACATTCTCTAAACAGCAGATAGGTAGAATCACAGGTACAGCCCATCCCATCTATCATTTCCCTACAGTTCACATCTGTTGAAAAAACTAAGTCAGCTGTCCTACAGAATGTTCTAAGGTATAGATTCCACCGTTTGTATGCCAATGGTGTCACTTAACAAATTCTTCTACTGTGTTCTGCCTATAAACTCATAGATGGATCAAAAGACTACATCGAAACTAGATTAAACATTTCAGCAAGAATATGTTAGAGGGCCAGAGATATAAGCTCAGTGACAAAAAAAAAAAATCAAACCCCACACTCACACAAAATTAAAATAACAAAAGTATAAGGGATATAGCTCAGCGGCACAGCACCTGCCTGGCAAGCACAAGGTCCTAAGTTCAATTCCCAGTACCAAAAAAAGAGGCTCAGAGACAAGGCAATTGCCTGGCAAGCTCAAGGTCCTCATTTCAAAACAAAAAGAATATGTTAGAGGTGTTACTTCTATTAGAAGGCACAAGCACATAATGTTTAGTTATCTCTATTTCAGTGTCATTAGCATCCACTTGTGAATTGCTGGGAACCATTATTTCATTGGGGATTGCAAAGAGGCAATATTTCATTTTTCCTTCATTGTTTATTAGTTGGGACCTTTTAAGAAAATAAAGTTTTCTCTCACCAATTATTTGGCTGTCTAAGATACAGTATGGGCTCCAGAAAACTCAAGGTAAATGCTTAATTCCTCTGTAAGTTTTCAAAATGAACTGTTTCCCTAGCTTCCTTCATAATGCCCCAATGTGGTATAATTACTATTAAAAATATCATCATGAACTCATGAACTTCTTCTTATCACACTCATACTATCCCATCTTTGGCCAGTAGGACACTTTTCAAATTATTTCGAGTCCTTCTGACATAGCTGTAACAGACTTTAATGTGATTCTTGCTTTCTGATAGTATAACAAGAAGTTCCAGACTTATCAGACATTTCTTGCCCTGAATCACCCATTTTTTCCACAGATCCTTAATTTATTAGAAAATGCAGTGTAAAAATCTCATTCTGGGCACGAGGGGACAGATATTTCTAACTTTTTTGAGACAGGGTCTCATTATGTAGCCCAGGCTGGCCTCTAACTCACATTGATCCTCCTGCCTCAGTCTCCTAAGTGCTAGGATTACAAGTGTGCACCATCATGTCTGGCATACTTCTAATTTTAACTAAGTACTAATTAAGCCTTTCCCAAACACTTAACTATTAATTTTGGCCATCTACTATATTAATTATAAAAAGATCAGAGGCTAGGGGTACAGAGACATTATGTTAGCCATTGTTGATTTTCCTTTTATCTGATTTTGAAGGCCTATAATGCCTTCATCACTCTGTTGTGATCAGTTGTATATTATTTTGTTTTATATAAATTCATTGTGTGTGAAGATACAGACAACTATTTAGGAAAAAACAAAGAGATATTATGGTAGCCACTATAGATCTCCTGCTGTCTTGCTTTGAAATCTGTGTCACTTACATTGTTTTCTTCTGATCTGCTTTGTTCTGTTTTGTTATGTTTAGTTTTACCCTCTTTAAAATAAAATTTTAAAAAACCACTCATGTGTTTATATTCCATAAGAGGAAACCAAAAAAGTAACAAAAAGTAAAATAACCAGTTGCCACTGCAAGTAATATAGATCCCTGACCTTCTATTCAGAAAACTGCCAATAAGAGAAAAAATTAAACATTGATGCTATCTTTCTTGTATAAACTATTACAAAGTAATCAGTAATACTAGTTAATGAAGAAAGGTAAATTAGACAGAAAAATTTAACTCATAAACAACTCATAAACACAATTAGAAAACTACCATTTTAACAACTAATGAAATAACTATGTAAAATGACTAATATACAATCAGTAGTTCTGAACTGGGTATAATTTCAGCCCCATCTCCCTCTGAGGGATATTTGGTGATGGGTAGACACTTTTTTTTAGTTGTTACAACTGTTAGGGAAGGGTACAATAGCATCTATAGCATCTAGCAGTAGAGGCCAGGAATGCTACAAAGGATAGCATCCCACAAAAAAGAATTATCCAGCCCAATAAATCTATAGTGCTAAGGTTTAAAAACCTCACCTTAGTTCTTACCTATCATGTATGAGGTCCTGAGTTTGAGTTTGATTCCAACATGTCATGGTTTATGTCTGTGGCCCCTAGGCCTCATGAGTTTGCATTGTGCATTTGTGAATAGTTCATTGTCTAGTGCTTGGATTGATGGTATCAGTGCTCCACCCACATAGGGGTAGAGCCAGGATGTGATGTAATGGCAGGAAGAAAGTGTGTCTTGTTCTTTGCTGGTTCCTGCTTGCTGTTTGCAAGCCGCCATGAACTGGGGCCAAGCCACGCCCGTCTGCCTTGGAGCCAACTGAATGTGAACTGAAACCTCCAAAAACTGTAAGAAATAAACCTTTCCTTTCCCAACTTGGGCTTCAGGTATTTTGTCTCAGCAACGAGTAAAAAAGTAACTAAGACACAACACCACAAAAACAAAAACACTTTACATTAAATAAAGGCTGATGGAGAAATTTACAGTGGGCATCTCCATTTGAACCTACTGACCAATGAATGATAGAATCATGACCAGTTTAACCAGACATTCTATGTCTTCTGATATGATGCAGTATCAAGTACACTGTACTCCCTGTACTTTCACTAAGAAAGTTGACCCTAAATCTAATTGATCCTTTAGAACTTAGAACACAGAAATATGAAAGACAGAGGTCATATCAGCACATTTCTGTAAAGGACCAAATAATAAATATTTTAGGCTTTTTAGACCATATGGCTTCTGTCACAACAATCCAACTGCTGTTGCAGTGCAAAAGTAGCTGAAAACATGCTGCATTCCAATGAAATTTTATTCACGAAAATAGATAGTGGGTGAAGTTGACTCATAGGCCATTGTTTGCCACTGCCTGGTACAGAAGTCATCCAATGATACCACACAGGAAATGGGACATTTTACGAGAAAACTCAGCAATTCTTTAATTATTTGATGTCACTGAAAAAAAAAACCCTAGGCGCTAGGGGTGAGATAGTCTCATTTCAAAAGAAATTCAAGAGACATAAAGATTAAAGGCCATCAGTGAATCTTGTGTGAATCCTGATGCAACTGTGAAAAGACACTGTGAGACACTGCAGTCATGTAATTTATGTACTAAGGATTGTAGATTACATCAAAAAATCACTGTTAATGTTATTAGGTGTGCTATCGGTATTATATAAGAAAATGTGCATGTTTTGAGAGAAGTATATATGGATAAAATGACATGTTTAAGACTAGCTTTAAAATACTTTAAAAGGGAAATGGGGATAAATAAATGTCATGTAATCTTGCTAACTGCTAAAATATATGTGACTAATACAAGCAATTCACTGCATAGTCTGTGAACATTTGAAAAACAAAAACCAAAATGTTTCCATCAATTTATAGCCTTACAAAAAACTGCAATACCAGACAAATTCAAATCATTCTCTAAACTGGAGTTTGGTAGTAAACTAGTATTTTTTTCCCTGCCAAAAGAACAATTTTCTCTTAAAGAATAGACATATAAGTTCTGGTAATTATTGTATCTAAGGTAACAGGTACAAAACTTTTCTTATTTTTTTTTACCTCATTTTGATGGTTCTTTGCATTTTGCATTGTCTTCATGCTGAAAGACATCACCACAAGTGGAGGAGGACCAACATCCTTAACTACAGTCACCAGGTCTGGTTTCAAAGCTACTGCCTCAAATTTACACCAACTGATTGGCTGATTTAAGAGCTCTAAAAAAGAACAGATACAACATATCAGTGTCTACTTACTGGGGCTGGGGATTTAGCTCAGCGGCATAAGCACCTGCCTTGCAAGTGTGTGGTCATGAGTTCGATCCTGGTACCGATAAAAAAGAAAAAGACAAAAAGAATTTGAGTATCTACTTACTAAAATAGAAGAAGTACTACAATTATGACATCTGTGATTAACTGAAATATTCCTCAATCCTATCCTCTAATAAGAATGACATAGTATTTCATTAAAAATAAGCCACATTACTCGGTGGTATGCAAATGTACATGTGTGCACACGCACTCATTTCTTGTAAGAAAAGATCTATAGATTTTATAAGATGATCCAAAGAATCCACAACCCAAGGGAGGATTTTTTAAACAAACAAAACACTGCCTTGGAGAAGTCATAAAACATCTTAAAGGGATTTATGAAGACAAAACATAGTATCTTAGATACAAATGCTGAAAAATATCAGGTAATAAGAAAAGATCTATAGATTTTATAAGATGATCCAAAGAATCCACAACCCAAGGGAGGATTTTTTTAAAAAAAACAAAACACTACCTTGGAGAAGTCATAAAACATCTTAAAGGGATTTATGAAGACAAAACATAGTATCTTAGATACAAATGCTGAAAAATATCGGGTAACAAGTCAGACAAGCACTATCCACATTGGGTGGTAATTCTCCTCCTTTCTAAAGGTCAGCAGTTCACTGTAGAGAACAGCTGCACCATCTCAGCTAGGTCAGAAGCACAGCACAGGCAAGAACAGCATAATGAATGATGGGCCATGAACAGCTGCCTGCATCGACGCCTCCCTTCAACTAAACTGCCAAACATTAGAGAAAAAAATCATTCTAAATGTGTCCCCTCTGAATACTCAGGAGAACCTCAAATAATCAAAAAAACAAAGTAGACACATTAAAATAAATAGATCTGAAAATGCATTTATCAGTAATCTACTTAGCACTAAATTTTTCCTTACGTGGATTTTTTACTTCAAGCCAACAAGGTCCTTTGATCTTTCTATTCATCAAGAACAGTTCCAAGCTGGATGTGTTGGTCCCAAATACATGAGAAAAAGTTTCCCCTTTCAAATCCTGAGGAAGCTGTGGCATTTCTGCCTAGGGAAAATAAAAGGAAAAAAATCTTTTTTGTTTAAACCATTACTTCATATTTTTGAGAGTCTATATTTGAAATAAACAAAAGCCTCTCTATGAAGCACCAGAAGAAACCCCTTTGATACATATGAAATGTAATTTGCCACAAATGAAATCCAAAACAATTCACAGTAGGAAACAAAAACAATTCACAATGACAAAATAATGCATCTTGATGACACCCATTAGAAGAAAAATAGGCCAAGAAGCTCCCCCAAAAGAGAATTTCTGCCCAGAGCTGTGCATGCCTCACTGATAAATAGCCAAATCAGTACCACTCCATTAGAAGAATGAAAGCAACAGAGTGGGATTCATTAGAAATACGTCCATGGTGTTTTTCATCACCACTGTTAAAAACATTTCTTAAAAGTTTCTCTTTTCCAACATCATGGGATCAAAACACTAGAACAGAAGTAAAAAGAGGTTAAGGTCCAGTTAATTAACATCCTGCAGCAATGACCTTGCCTGTCACAGGAGCAAGAGCAGCACTATAGCAATGCTATTGACACTCCTCTCTCACCTTTCTACTGCTCACAAGAGACACTTCAATAGACTAATGATGTCCAACTCCATCATGTAGCATTCACTCCATTTGACGAACAGTTGTGCTGTTACAACTTATTAACTTAAAGATGCATACTTGAAAGCAGAGAAAGGCAGTGTAACTTGTAGTCTATGTACTTAAACTAATTTTATCCATTTCAATTATTCATTACTTTAAGTTCACCTCAATGAACTGTGGGCTTGAGGAGCATTGCCAACACTCCAAATTGAAAGCCAGTTGAAAGTTCAAAAATAGAAAAATGTCATTCTCGACTAAAATCCAGTAATTCTCTTTTGTTTGACTTACCGAGTATCTAACTTCTAAGTACTCAGATTTTTCTGGAACATCAGGTATCTCAAAAGCATAATTCTTTTCCACTTTCTGGGTAAATAAATATTTTAAAAATTGTTAAGACAAAAACTTTTCAAAAATTACATGGCCAGTATTACATAAACAATACAGTGTACATTCCTGCATTCAATCATCAGGAATCTAGCATGGTGCCCACACACTCAGGTAAATAAAGTCAAAAAGGCACACTTCCCCCTTTCAACTAGGAATAAAATACCAGTAATGAAACACTAAAAGGAGCCAGCACCTGTTTCTTCACCATTATACCACATTACCTCTGGATTTTCTTTTATTTTGATTTTTTGTTTTTTCACTTTTATCGGTACCAGGGATCGAACTCGCGACCGCCTGCTTGCAAGGCAGGTGCTTATGCTGCTGAACTAAATCCCCAGCTCCTACCTCGGGATTTTTTAAAAATCTGTTTGTTTGCAGTGCTTGGTATCAAACCCAGGCACTGCTTCTGGAATTATAAGTATGTGACTCGTTAGTCACAATTCAAGGCTCTAATAGTTAAAGAGAGCTATCCTTATCTTAAGCAACTCAATCTTACTTTATTGCAATCACTGTTAATAACTAGTATTTTAAGTGGGCTATATCCTCCATCCATTATGACCGAAGGCATCAATATCATAAAATTAAGATACATCTATGAATAGAAGTTTTGCACTCTATAAGAAATATCATCATAGTCCCTAAGTATTTAAAGATAAAAGCCTTCTTAGTCATCCAATCAAAATGCATTAGCAATAACCAATTTAAATAAAATAATAGGGGCTGGAGATTTAGCTCAGTGGCATAAGCACCTGCCTTTGTAAGCAGGCAGTCGTGAGTTCGATCCCCGGTACTGATAAAAAATAAATAATAAAATAATAGTTCCTTCTCCATTTCAGAATAAAAGTACATGACATGTGCAAGCAGGAAACAATTTGCTATGAGTTATTTTTCCATTCAATTCATAACCATTATTTTATAAGCAGTTTTAAAAATATTTTTACAAATTTAATGTTTCTACATTCATACCTATAAGATTTCCACTCCATGACTTATAGTCAGTCATAGAGAAGGCATTTTGCATGAAGTAGCTATACAATCATTATTTGTTAAATCTGTAAATGAACAAACCATAAAGAGAGCTAGAAATAAATTCACCAGCAAATACAAACCTTGGACTTGAACTTCATAATTTTGTATTTATTTGCTATTCTCTCATCAAATTCATCGTAAACATCTTTCATTGTAACTGGAGTTCCTGTTTCCTTCCCTGTATTTGAATCGATTTTCTGTTTTCGCATGAAGAGAAGAGGAAAAAGTTACCTGTACATAAGATTTTCTCAATTATCAAAAACCCAAGTCTGCATCAGTGTTCATACTCACCCATTTAAACACTTGACAGCAGTTTCACTGATGAGTTCACAGACACAAGTAGACCCAAAAAATGTACTAACCCAAATGCCCACTCCTCTCAATGTAACATAAATCAGAGATAAAAGATGATCAAGTCTACAAAATGGGAAAGTATTGTAAATCCTGAGCAAGAAGCTCCACAGTTAAGCTGAGATGGGGAGGGCTGGTATTGGGAGAGGATTAGAAATGTTAAAAGTTTTAATAAAAAGGAAGAACAAATGGAAATGATCTTATTAAATAGCCATGGAAAGAATGTTACTGCTGCCTATGAAGTAAAAGCATGAAAACGGGCCTAAATGCCACTCCACATACTTTCATCCATTTATTCATTTATTGAGGCAAGATCAAACTATGTAGTACAGACTGGCCTTGACCTCACTTACTATGTACCCCTGGCTGGCCTCCAACTCACAACAATTCTCCTACCTCAGTGTCCCAAGTACTGGGATTACAGGGGTGGACAACCATGCCTAGCCCACCACTTCACATTTTAGAATAGTCCCAAACCTGATTAATGTGGAAATGAAGTGTAAGGGGAAATACAGCACCATGTTTTTTAACTCAGACACTTGTATATTAACACATTAAAAAACTGAATTCAACTTCATTTCTCTTTTTTTTTCCAACCTCTAATGGAGTTGCTGATAATCATTGGTCGGTCATTGGACAAGCACGGGAGAATTGCTACCCTATTGAAGGACAGAGTTGGCAGTAGAACACTCAATCAGTGCCACGTACAATTACTGAGAACTAAGAGCTACCATTCACGGGGAAGGAAGTACAGCATTTGCTCGATGTTTTTCACCATGACACAACGTTTACCATTTCACGGGGAAGAAAGTACAGCATTCGCTCGATGTTTTTCACCATGACACAACAGCTCACATGAGTCTTGGCTGATTCAATCCAAACTTTGCCAAACAGAAATACCACACCTAAAAGAATTTTAAAAAAGATCATAGAAAAAGAAACATTTCAGCTACCTTAAATTAAAGAGGCGATATAAAGACTCACTGAATGTATCCACACATTTATGCCTTCATGATAATTCATTTTGACAGCACATACACATCTGTCACCTACTTCCCAAAACCAGTGCTCTACTCAGTAGCCATACTACACTATCATAATGGTACAATCTAAAACCTGGAGAAAGAGGACAGAATAATTCTCCAACATGGTATAAACACTTTCCCTATAACCAGCACTAACCAGATTAGAAGAAACAAAACAAGTAAATTATTCTCTAACCAATTTGCTATTTTAAGCCTCTTATGAGAACTCAGAAATCTAAGATTCTAAACTTTTAACACTTGCATAAACTGATAAAAACATTCATATTATTGGATAAATGTGACACATCAATAATTTTATCTAAAATTGTATTTGGGCAAAACAATTTATCTGTCTCTTACTTCATATAATAAAAAATATCTCATAATTGGACTGTAACTAAAGTTTGTTTCACCCTTCCTACCTTACAAGCTACTTTATATATCTGCCTAGGTAATATTTTTATTAGTACATGTTTGCAATACATAATGATTATATTCATTATGGGCAGTGGGCACATGTACATGAAACATCATCTTTTTATGTTCGCTTCCCCTCCACCCCTCCCCTACTAGCCATCCCTGGGTCCCCTTCTCATTTATAAAGATCTATCTCCATTTCCTTTTATCTACTGTTTATTTTGTGCTTTATTTATAACATTCCTTTCCCTTTCGGTTTATGAATGGTTTGGTAACCAAATCAATAGATACTCTTTTCGAGATTCCCAAGTAATTTACACTACAAAGTAAAAACATGTCATTTGAGAAATCAAGTCATTGTTCACGAAGACTAGCCATCAAGAAAGGACTCCAGGGCAGGGGACACAGCTCAGCAGCACAGCATTTGCCTGGCAAGCATGAAGTTCTAAGTTCAATTCCAGGTACACCACCCTGTCCAAAAAAACAAAGGACTCCATGGGACAGAGTGTACCTCAATGCAAAGAACAAACCTGTAATGCATAAATTGCTGGGTTCAATTCCTAGCACCAGAAAAGCAACAATACCAAAAATTTGATAGTCAACCCAAGAAATTGTCAGTGCAAAATCCTAGAATCCATAAATCGGACAGTAGTAATCAATACCACCACTCAGCACGGCTGTTTGAGACACTAAGAAGATTCTGACACATCCAAAAGCTACTGTTCATAAAGCCAATTACCCATTTCACAAGACAGCTCATTAGTCTTTTTCTTTTGTCACTAGTTCTGGGGTAGAAATAAGATCATCATTTCTGCAGATGATTAAAATTCTTAAAGAGTTATGCGATTTTTCAGCAGGGTTGGTAGTAGATGCAAGGGAGCTAAGCAAGAGGGAAGGGAGGACTATCAGGCTGATTTAAAGAAAAAAAAAACACCACTGCTCAGAAAACTGCAAGTTATCCTAACAACAGTTAAAGATGGAAAATAAAATTCCATGAAAAGAAAAATAAAGACCCTAATACTGGATTCAAAGATTCAAATAGCTCATTTTACAGTCAAACTAGTAACACACTTCATGCAACACATGACACTGTTTATGCCTCATTTGCCACAAAAAGATCATGGTAAACAAAGATTACATTCCTCCCAAAGTTACTAGCTGAAACCAGGTGCAGTCAGGATTATTCAACCTTGAAAAAGTCATAATGAAGACAGGATATCTTCCCATATGCAAAGAGTAAGATTCTTTTCATAATTATGGCACATTCAGCAATAACTGACTGACTCAGAATGTGTAAGAAAGTGAGAAACAATAACGGGGTCTTTGGGAGTACTTCACTTCTATTAGCAGCATTGATTGCACCAAAGCTCATGATCATTACCTACTATCATGATGGAACCGCTCAACCCTCTGAGATTAGAGCTATTTTATTTAACCCGTTGACATCAAAAACAGAAAAATATGTCACTGCACACAGAAATAATCTGAGAAGTACCATGGAACAGCTGAGTGGACTGAGGGTGAGAAGCTCAGGCTTCTGCCGTAAAGAGCCAGGGGCCCTATCTTTTGGAGCCTCAATGTCCTGAGTAACTAGATGATCTCTGAGGCCTTCTTTGGCACTATAAATTTCATTTTACCTTAGCTTCTGGATGATAGACAAGTAACAGATTCACTCTTTCAATTGCAAAAGAAAGTAACTGAGCTGGGCATGGTGGCATTTGCTAAGTCTCCCTTTTACTGGCATGCCCTCTTCTAGATTCCACATGAGAGAAAACATGCAATGCTTGTCTTTTGGAGTCTGCCTTACTTCACCTAAAATGATCATCTCTAGTTCCATCTATTTCCCTGCAAAGGACATGACTTCATTCCTCTTTATGGGTGAAAAATACCTCACTGTGTATATACATATTTTCTTTATCTATTCATTCTTATCTCATCCGCTATAAGGCTTCAGGAGGCAAAGTGATTGCAACTCTAGTTCTGTAAAACCTTTCATATCCCTCTGTAGGACTGTCAATCACGGTGCAGCTTATTTCAAAGACTACTTATTAAATACCTACTATGCACTGGCACTGTGCTGGACGCTGGAAAAAAATTCCAGTCCTCCAGGCTTAAAAGCTTTGGGGAAAAGCAAACCAGATTCAAATCATTTCAAAATACTATGATAAACACTACACTGGAAAAAGGTATGATGGGGGTCACACAGAGAAGGCTGAAGCCCATGGTGAGGTTTAGGAAAACTCCCAGGAAATTATACCAAGACTGAACCTTTAAAAATAAGCAGATGAGGGCAGACAGTATATAACAACACAGGTATAAAGAGCAGCAAGTTACACACAGTGAACTGAGCAAAAATTCATGGACAGCAGGAGGCATGAAACACCTTGCTAAGGAGCTTGGACTTTATACTGCAGACAACAGCTACTGAAGATTTTTTTAAATGAGAAAATGGTATGATCAGATTTACCCTTCGAATCAATCATTCTGGCAGTAATATAGAGGATGAGAGCAGAGACACTCATTAGGAAGGAGGCTGGCACAATAGATGCAGTAGGCAAGAAAGGGCTCAGGGGTGGCAGCTGTGAGGTTTTAAGACTCTCTTTTAGGAGAAAGAAACTATCAAGGTGAGGGAAGTGAAGAGTATCAAGCTGGCTTCTAGGTTTCTGGTTTTAATGGGACCATTAACCAAGACAAGGAATAAAACATAGCATTGAGCAGGCATAGCAAAGCACAGTAAGAAGTGCTAGGATAGGAAAGCTGACCATGCTGCACAGCTTCAAGGGGCACCATTTAAACCGCTGCTGGGGCAGCCCTGGCTTCAGCAATGGATGAGAAAACCTTTGCTCAGTCTCATGTAATCATACTTTCTAACCTATCTTCCAGCAGAGAGGAGCAAAGCAGTCAAAGAGGTGAGAGGATCTAACCAAATCATCTTGACCCCATTAATGCAGCCTAAGATATCACTTCTAAGACTGTCTTTACCTAAGAAGCACATGGCAGCATGCTACTCTACTGGCTCTGCAAAAGTATGCACATATTTGATAAGAGAAAATATGTTAGTATTAACACTTCATTAACAATTTTACAATTAAAGTCAATGCCTATTATCTTGAAGATAAATCTCATCTTGAAGAATTCTGACAGTTTATACCCTTTTTGCTCATATACTTATTTTACTAACATACAGGTACTATATTTTTATTGGATGCAGCCTCTAGGAAACCACTTGAAAAATAGTTTGCATATATTATGACCCAAAAAAGGATCTAAACTCAGACAAGTGTATTTAACAGCATATATTGTATTTTATATTAATCCCACAAACCTTACTATGACCAGTGCCACAATGAAAGGCTCAAAGAGTCACACAAAAAAAAACCAGACAGCCTCCTGGATTTTTTTGTAAAAGATTAAACAACATAAATTTATTATCCAGAGTTCTGGAGGTCAGAAGCACCAGTGGGTGAGCGAGGTTACATTACTTCTTGAGGCTCTAGAGTACAATCCCTTTCTTTGCATTTTCCAGCTTCCAAAGTCTACCCACATTCCTTGGCTTTTGGCCCTGCATTACTTGAACCTCTGCTTCCAGGTCACATCTCCTTTCATAAGGAAACCAGGACTGTACTTGGTCCACTTCAATATTCTCCTTATCTCAAGTTCCTTTTACCATGTTATGGTTGATACATTGTATCAACTTGCAAAGTTTAGAAATTTAACTAAGAGACTAACAGGGAGCCAGGGTCCTTACTCTGTAAACATCTTCAGCCTGTGCAAGAAGGCACAAGATGCTGTGATTGCTGTATCTGCCCTGAGTCCAGGGGAGAGGGGTGAGGAGCCTGCCTACAACATAAGGGAGGGAAAAAAGGTTTGTCCTCCCCACTTTTTGCTCTTGTTGCTTCATTGTCTTCTGCTGCCTTGAGTGCCTCCCCTGTGCTATGCCACCCTGCTTTGTAGTCAGCTGATTATGGACATATTGTGAGTTAAATAAACCATTCCTTCCTTAATTTTGGGTATTTTGTCCCAGCAACAAGAGAAAAGTAGGGCTGGGGATTTAGCTCAGTGGCATAAGCGCTTGCCTTGCAAGCAGGCAGTTGTGAGTTCGATCCCCAGTACCAACAAAAAGGAAAAAGACCAAAAAAAAAAAAAAAAGAGAGAAAAGTAAACCAAGAGACCATGTAAGGAAACATATCAGAGGTTCCATGTTTGAGTACATACATATCTTTGGGAAGATCATCATGCTGCCTATCACGCCTCAGTTCCACAAAGCTGAGAAGTTCTTCCCCTGTCTTAGAAAAGAAAGTCTTAGAAAAGAAAGAGGCTAAGAATACCAGGACTAAAAAAAATTAAAAATAAAATAAAAAAAGAACCCCAGGACTGACAGAGGCATCTACTTAAATGTCATCTTTACATCCTTAGCTAAGTCACTCAGGGCCAAATTGTCAGGGATTTTTTTTAAAGAAAAACAAGTGAAAAAAAAAAGAAAAACAAGTGAGTATTAAACAATTATTTTGCCTACAGAAAAGGTAAAGATTTTTTAAAGTTTTTTTATTTTTTTTCCTTTTTGATTTTGTGAGACAGGATCTCATTATATAGCTTGCTAGCCTTAAACTCATTATGCAGCCCAGGCTGGCCTCAAATTTGCAACAGTCTTCTTGCTTCAGCCTCCCAACCACTGTTTCTATAATAGGAAAAAATTATTTGAAGGTTAATTTTAAATTATTTGAAGTTAATTTTACAACTTTGTAAAAAGTTGTATTGAAGAACTAGAGTAAGACATTCAATTTGATTCCATAGACAGGCCCACAAGCAAATATAGGAAACATTTGTTCAATTTAAGGAGAACCTTTTCTCACAGTTATTTTTGTTCAAAATGGAATGAGCCATTTCGGCCATCACAAGGGCATTCTAGGCTTATCTTAGGTTGACTTTTCCCTAAGGAGGAAGTCACAAGATCCTTCATTGGAAGCTAGCCCTACAGATTCAGAAAGCATTTGTTAGACAGTCATTTCCTCCAACTCCCTCCTGGCTTTTTGTAAGACAAAACTCAGTGTTAGGAATCAGTCTTAAGTCTTCCTTTCTGTCACCACCCTCATCAACCCATCAACTAATCCGCTAAAATACTTGTAAAATACCTTTACATCTCTTCTCCCCAGCCACCAATATCCAAGCAACAAGCACTTCTACCTTGGACCAGCTCATCTCCAGGGCTTCCCCACTTCCCTATTACCCAGCTCCAGGCTATTCTTCTAAATGTACATATACATGAACTGGCATGTACTCACATACACACAGCCAATTCTCTATAAAGACCAGAAGATTCCTAGAATAAGATTCAAACTCCTTGATTGGGTTTTTAAGGTCCTTTATTATCTGGCCTTTGCCTTTGTCTCCAACTTTACTGTATACCAACTTGTCATTTGGTAACTATGCTACAACTACACAGGCCTCCAGTTCTCCTTTGTCAGACCTTGGTGCTTACTGGTCTTTTCTTTAGTTCTGTATGTACCTCACATCTCATCTAGGAGTCATATCCTAAGACAGGCTTTCCCTGACCATCCTCCAATAAAAGTCCTTTACATCACTGAGAAATTTATCTTAATGACAACCCCCCCCAACTCCCACTCTGCTGAAATACAAGCTCCATTACAGTGTCAGGAATTTATACAGCTTCTTTACTCCATCTTGGTAGCTGACATACAACAGGTAGTCCAATTTGCTGAACAGAGTGATAAATTAACAACTGATTCCTTTTACATTCCTATGACTTCAGATACATCAGTGGTGAATGACAAACACACATTCCTAAACCACATATAACTGATTTTTGGAATAAGCATCTTTAAGAATTATTCATACCACAGCTCCTCTCTATCAAGGTAGCTCACACACTTAGCAAGGAATGAGTATAATGCTCATCTGCAATGCACATAAGTGAGGGCAAAGCTTGTGCCAATTACAATCACTAAGATATTTAAGGGAAAAGACGCTACTCCATATTACAGGCATATGGTTACCTTATGTATGATTACCTGGTTGATTGTACTGATCTTCATAAGCGTCCAGCCAATAAAACTGAAACACTTGATCCTCATCTGCCCCTTTTACCAATGGGAGTTGACTGGAATCCACTTGAACTTCCTGTGCTGAGAAACTAATGTCATCTTCCTGATCAATATCCCAACAAGAGACATCTGGGAGAACACTTCCTCTGTAGAAATCATATTTTCAAAAACCTTTCAATACACACAGAATAACTGGAGTGCTATTTCCAGAAAAGTCATGAAATGCTCTTACAAGGAGGATGTCATCCCCTTCTTAGGATCTGCCTTGTGTTTCACCCCCTCTGCTGGCTCACTCTGTTGGTCCCAAGTCTTGGCAGCCACAGGCTCCATGTTCATCTCCTCGGCTTCCAGGGGCTCATCAAAGTCATTATCTTCAAATTCCATTACACCTGATTCCTGCTCATCTTCTGGATGCTCTGGCTGCATCAGCTCTCCTGTAGGTATCATCACACATCCCCGTCATGTGCCAGTACCACAGGACACAAAGACGGACACAACACTGAAGTACAAGCATAACCCTTTTCTTCTACTGTGTTTGCATTTCCCTTTAATCTTCAAATTGCATTTGTATTGCTATGAATTTCAATCTTTCACACTTAGACTTGTCATCAGAATACCTTCAAAATCACCCTCATATCCTCCTATCACAGGGTCTCTAATTTGTGTCAACAACAGTTAAAACACTTCCACTTCTGCCCGATACCAGACTTACCAACAAATTCAGCAGGTTTAAGAGGAACAGCAGTTAATGGAGGTTCCTTCCTAGGGGCAGGGGAAGCAGTTTTTCCTGAAGGAATTACCTGTAAACATTTTCAAATGTTTAGTCAGTTAAGACCTACATACTAAAAATATGCAACTCTCCCACCTTGACCAGAGATAATGACAGTTCCCATTTATAAAAAGATTTTATGTATTATTAATGTAACAGCTTCAATTATTTTACTGTTACCTAGGTTTACAAAAAAATACTTGTTTCCCAGAGGAAAATTATTGCATTTAGCACAGTTGTAATACCTATAATAAACACATACTAGTTACTACAAAATTTACTATGAAAAAAGCAGGCACATGCTATTTTTAAAATATATGAAGCTATACATTGAATGGCAGTCCTAATTTAAAATAAAGATGAAAAACAAATTCAAAAGCATTTCACTCACAGAAAAACAACAAAATAAATTTATTAAAGCAAAACTATAAATCAAGACAGTGTATTTCTATACACTTTACCTTGGGGGTGTGCACAGAAAAAGGATTCTGTGAAGCCCTAATGGATCTTTTCTTCTTTGGTATCACTACAAGTGGTGGAGTTATCTGAGGTGTCTAAAGGAAGGGTAAGATAGACATTTACTGCCATGCCTGGTTTACCACATAACAGTAAAGTACATTTCCTAACTCACTAAAGCCCAAGAAGTAAAGCATTTTTTCTCCCCCCACAGCATCTATGTTCCTGTACTGCAGTTACTATAGCAACACTAAAGAAATCACTAGAAAACCAGAAGATACTGAATCCACCCCTCACAAATTTTTTCCTTTTCAAAGTTAAAGTCTTTCACTTGCCCTTTCCAGAATATTACACTTATATTCTATCAAGATAGAGCTATATAGTGTTGGCATTAGTCATTTTAATCAATGGTCACTTAAAAGTATACTTCTAAGAGCTTAGCTGTTATAAGAAATGGCCAAATTTCAAATTCACGGTGCCGCTAAGCCTATTTGAGTTATATCAGGGGTAGCTCACTGACTGTTCTCTCATTCCCAATCATAATTCAAGATGAGGATCTCACGGCTGATTGTGCAGACTGACAGGCTTCAATTTATTTAGGGAACATACATTATAGCAACTGAACACAAGCAGTGAGCATTCACAGGACTGACTCCTGGGTGTATTTCTACTGCTTCCAACACACACCCACACACCGTAGCTACATAATCACATAGCTGTAACATCAGAAACTACTCACCTAAAACGGTCAGAAGGACCTAATTTAAAGATTTTGTTTTGCTTTTATTTTTGGTGGGGTTTTTTTAGTACTGCCCTTAATATTTTTAGTTCTACTAACAGTCAAGTTTTGCACAATTACTGAATTGTTTCGTCAGCCTATACTCCCTGCACATTTCACAAGTCTCAGAGATTCACTTACTTCAGTGTTCAGATCTTGTAGAATGTCACCTAGCAGGTCATCCTTGGACAAGTCTACAGCTTTCTGGAGATAAGAAAAGAAGGTAAAATGAAAAAGTCTTGCATTTAAAATTTTTACAAAGACCACATATGTCTGTGAAAGGAGAAAACCTAACCAGTCAGTTTTTGTCTCTGTTTCTCACTCTGAGTGCTCTCATCTACTATTCACAAGATTTTAACCATCTGTGTATATATAGTTTTAAAGTTTTATGACTTTCACCATCTTATTTTCATCCTCATTCCATGATCTTCCTGCTAACCACTGAAATTAAACTTTGTCAATTCATCTTTTCTATCCAATTTCTGTTTCTATCTCTACCTCTAACCTAAATTAGGTGCCTAAATAGGTGTCTAAATTCATGAAATCTAAATTCAACTTAGTGAAACTTGTAAAATACTATTCAAGTACGTACTGAACACCTATTAGCCGTATAATCAAATATTAAATCCATTTTATAAAAGAAAAGACAAAATATGAGGAAACTATGAAACTCACATCTGCAGTTTTCTTCCCAGCACTAGCAATGAACATTGACTTGATATTGTTTGGTTTTGTCACTGTAGGTTTCTTTACATTCTTCTTGTCTTTGTTGTACGTTTTACCATCTTTTCCTATTGGAATATAAATCATTTAGAAACATGCACCAGCCCAAAATCAAAATGGAAAACTAAAAGGCTAGCCACCTGTTCTCTGTATATGAAAATTTTAAAAGAAAAAAATTAATAATATAAAAGTGAGATTCTATACTCAGTACACAGGGAAGAATTAAATTTGAGAAAACTTGAGCCAAATGTTATTATGAAAACTGACAAAATACAAGTTAAATATCGGGATGAAATAGGTGTTACTATTTAACTGCTATTGGTACTGTGAATAAAAAGCTTTTTTAAAGTTAGGACAGTTGCATCGTTTCTTGTTTTTCCCACTGAAAATGGGATACTCTGAGATTAGCCTAAGAGACTTCATGCGATCATATCATTAGTTTTATACCAAATCTGACAGGACAACTGAACTATAAAGAAATAGGATTATCAGTTATAAGACTATATCATCCTAATTTATGAGGAATAGTATGTGGACACATGTAATACATCATATCAATACTAAACATCAGAGAAACGTTTCCTCATTAAAGGAAAACTTTCACCATAACTTATGGCCATGTGGAAATCACCTATGAGCTTTCCTGACAATTTTAATCTCGTTTTCTGATTTACCCTAGAATAATCAATCTCCAAGAAAACCTAGAATTTAGTTTTTTTAATTTTTTAAAACCTAGAATTTATAATTAAAATACTATGGTTGTGGTAAATATATAGACCAGAGGAAACAGAAAATAAAGTTCAGAAAAGGACACAATTACTTCTGGTAAATTAGCAAATAAAAAGGTGGCAAGTTATATCACTTGTAGAAAAGATGGACTTTTAAATAAGTAGTGTTGGCTAGCCATTTGTAAAGTAAAACAGTAAAAATACTAACATGAAATTTTTAAAAATAAAACTAAGGTTGGAGATGTAGCTCAGGGGCAGAAAGTTCGCCTAGCCTTTGTAAGGCCCTGGGTTCAATCCTGAGTACCAAAAAAAAATTTTTTTTCTTTAAAAATATAATTCTTTTGTAACTTAGGCATAGTGAAAATCTTTTGCTGGGTATGGTGGCACATGCCTGTAATCTTAGCACTCAGGAGGTTGAGGCAAGAGGATCACTGAGAGTTCAGGCTAGCCTGGGCTACATGGTGAAATCCTGTCTCAAACAAAACAAAACAAAATCTAACTATAATTCAAAACCACTTGGTGAGAAAAAAGATTGATAAATTCAATTATTCCAGAAAGGAAAAGAAAAAAACAGAAAAAAAGTTTTTCAATGTATAACACAAATAAAGGACCAACTTCCCTGATAAATATGTCCTTGACATACAGAACTTAAAAAAAAAACAAAGAGCAAAACTCAAAAGGAGAGTAAAGTCACACATAGTGGCACACATCTGTAACTCCAGCACTGTGGGAAGCTAAGGAAAGAGGACTGCGAGTTTTTGCCCAGCCTGGGCAACTTAATGACTTAGCAAGACTCTGTCTTGAAATAAAAATTTAAGAAAAAGCTGGGGATGTAGCTCAGTGTGAAGGCTCTGGGTTCAATCCCTAAGGACCACAAAAAAAAAAAAATCGAGCAGTGAACACAAATATACAGTTAATTTTTATGAATTGACCCTCAGCTTCAAGGGTAAAACAAATGTAAATGCAGAACACAACTATACTGAGACACCACTTTTCACATAGCAGAGAGGCTAAAATGCAGAAGCTTGACAACGTACCATTAACAAGGCTTTGAGGAAACAGATAGTGCTCATAGGTGTATAACAGGATAACTTCTAAGACCTTGGCAATGTCTAACAAAACTTTATGTGCATTGGGGCTGGGGATTTAGCTCAGCGGCATAAGTGCCTGCCTTGGAAGCAGGCAGTCATGAGTTCAATCCCCAGTACCGATAAAAAGACAAAAAAAAAAAAACTTTACATGCACTTATTCTCTGAGCCAGCAATTACATTTATAAGACTTTTCCCTGAGGAAATTGTCACATGCACATTATTACCAAATGTGGCATTACTGGTTAATAGTGGATCCTTGATTTAAAAACTCGATTTGTTCATGAGGGCTAGTTGTAACACACCTTGGTTGTAATTCAAGACTATTTTTCCCATAAGAAATAATGGAAATATCCATTATGTGCTTGAACCTCCCAAAGCACCCCTTAACTAACCTTTTCATAATAAAAAAGGTTGCATAATTTACCAGAAACACCAATAATTATTCCATTGTATTTGCCAAAAAGTTATAAAATATGTCTACCTAACCAGAAACAACAGTTTCATACTGCACTCACCATTCAAGTTGCCATCTTTGGCTTGCAGGAAGGGGGATGAAATGGAAGGAGTCCCATTCCATAAGATTGGGAATGTGGCTCTCTGCGGTCCTTTCTCTCCTTGGAGAACCTGCTTCTGGCTCACTAGATCTCAACCTTTTCAAAACTAAAAACTGGTCTAAGGTTGTCTCCTTCTGTCTTTCCTTTAACACTGCTCTTTTGGATTGTGATTGCTTTCTTTTCTTTCCCTTCCCTCCTTCGCTTCTTTTCCAGCTTTTTGGGGGCCATTTTGATAACAGTGGTCATAGCAATTATATAAAGCACTGACCAAACTCTCATCCACAAACGTGCACTTCTGGGATCAGGTTGATACTTACACAGACTCATATACGCCTTTCTGCCATCACAAGTCTTTACAATTGTACAAGCAGCTGGCATTTAGGTCATAACTCAGAACTTTGGTCATAAGTCAAACCTAAACTTTCTGGCCATAATCCCAGTTGTTTGCATGTGAGGCTAGTCGTAACTTGAGGATCCACTGCAAAAGTGCATCCAAGGAAATCACTTGAATAAAGTATAATATATCCATCAACGGAATATTGTGCAGCTACACAGACATATAAGAAACATCTCTAGGGGCTGGGGATTTAGCTCAGCGGCATAAGCACCTGCCTTGCAAGCAGGCAGTTGTGAGTTCGATCCCTGGTACCGATAAAAATGAAAAAGAGCAAAAAAAGAAAAGAAACATCTCTAAGTACTAGTGGGATTCTTAAGATATCTTGTTAAGTGAAAAAAAATAAAATACAAAACTATACATATACATATACATATACTGACATTACCTTTTGTGTAAGAAAATAGAAATATATAACACAATTCCACTCATTGGTATATACCCAAAAGAAATGAAAAGAGACATTCAAACAAAAACTAAAACACAAATGTTCATAGCACCAATATGTAAAATAACCAAAAAAATTGAAATAACCCAAATATCCACCAACTCAAATGTCCAATGAATGGATAAACAAAATGTAGTATACACATTCATATAATGGAAATATTATTCAGTCAGAAAGGAAGAGTACTAAACACAGTATAATGTGAATGAAATTTGAGAACATTATCTAAGTGAAAGAAATCAGGCATGAAAGATCCCATATTGCATGATTCCATTTACACAACATATCCAGAAACAAAAAGTAGATTAATGGTTGCCAAACATTAAAAGAAGGAAGACTGGGAAGTGACTGCTAAGTGAGTATGAGGTTTCCACTTGGAGTGATGAAAAGGTTTTGAAACTGGATAATGGTGATAGTCGCACACTGCCAATGTACTAAATGTCACTAACGATAAATTTCAGGTTACATGCATTTTACCACAATAAAAAGATATTTATCATATTTAAAAGGTTTGTAGAACATTTGTGAAAACTGTAAGAAAAGAGAGTTGCATAGAGAAACTTACATTATAATTGAGATCATTTGAGCAGTCCGAAAATGATGTAATTAATGGTCAAAATAGTCACTATACAAAACTCAGAGTATAAAAAGCCAGCAAGGCTTCATGAGGAGACTGTAATCTCACCATTATAGATTAGTAGGATTTAGGTATAAGGACAAAAGATAAATGATATGCATTAAACATATACAGCTGAATTCTTCCACAGTTTATTGTTCCTGTTTTATTGTGCTCTGCCACTGATTTCTCTTCACTGGGACTTGATTGATATTTTATCTTTTTTTCTAACAGAAAACAGCATGCCAGGGATTGGACCTAGACCATAAAGTGTTGATCTTTTACTTCTAGATAAAACTACAATTCCTTATAAGCTCCTACTGAGGGACACCACAACAGTGAGGATATGTAAGTGGTGGTAGCAAAGTATGAAATAAAAATTTCTATTACTAGTTGTCTTTCAGAATGTCAGATCATTCTCTTAATTAATGCACTACTAGGAAGAAATAATGACTACAGAAACACAGTAATGGCTCATTTATTTCACAAATACTGAATACTTCCTTTGTATCTGCTATTGCAATGAGCACTGCAGTGACTGTGACATGGGCCTTTTCTTTGAGAAGCTCCCTGTCCAGTCCAACTTTCTAATTTATGGCTGACAAACTACAATCTAGGCAAGTGATGGGACATTCAACAAAACAATATCATGGCCCCTTTTTAAAAAAATTTCAATGTTATAAAAGACATAAAGAAGTTATGAGGAAGAAAGGGTTACTATTCTACACTAAGTAAGATGAGCCAGCTGTAGTGGTAGGTCTGTAATCCGAGCACTTGCGAGGCTGATGCATGATGATTCCCATGACTTCGAGGCCAGCCTGGGTTACACAGTCAGTTCAAAGCCAGCCTGAACTACATAGGGAGACCCTGTCTCAAAAAATAAGTAAGACTAAAAGAAGTGTTTCACATTTTTAAAAATTGCTATAAGCGGCTGGGGATTTAGCTCAGCGGCATAGGCACCTGCCTTGCAAGCAGGTGGTCGTGAGTTCGATCCCTAGTACCAATAAAAAGTTTTTTAAAAAAAGAGCAAAAAAAATTGCTATAAAAGACATCACGGAACTGGAGAAATTTCACTATAGATAATATGTAAATATCATAGTAATGGCACTATAATTAAGCAGATAAGTATCCTTATTCTTAGGAAGTCACTGAAGTTCAAACAAATTCACCAAAAATTTTTTTCTGTGTGTGTTTGAGGAAGCAATTGTTGCAAACACTAACCTACAAAGAGCAAGATAGCACAGATGTATGGCTTCATGGCCAAATACAGTTCTCTTATTCTTACACTATCACATAGTCATCTTCACATTTTTCTTTTCTCAAAAAGCACTCTCAAGGAATATAAAAACCTCTCTGACTCAAGGACTATACAAAAACAGGTATGATTTTCTTTAGGAGTAACAAGAATGTTCTAAAATTAATTCTGGTGATAGCTACATAATTCTGTAACTATACCAAAAGGCAGTGAATTGCACAGTATAAATTATATCTTAATAAAGTAGTATTTTTAAAAAACTAGCAGGTCATAGTTTGCTAACCCCTTATCTACTACTTAGTGGGAAAAAAACTAATTAACAGACTAAATCAAAAAAGCAAATACCAAAGAGAATTTCCTATTCTCATTTTACAAGAACTAAATCAGGCTGTTTACTTGAAAAAAATTTGCCAATTATATTTAAGAAATTCTGACATAATCATTCATATCATTTTAAATTTCAATTAAACAAAGCAAGTTGATTACACTAGTTTGAACCTTGTTATTGTACTGTACAACTACCAAAGAGCTAAAATCCTAAGTACTTCAGCAGGAATAGAAAGACATCACTTACTGTTGCAACCCTCCAGAACTGAGTATTTCAGACTGGATTAAAAATCCAAACTTTTTGATAATGGAGACATGAAATTATTTTCTAGTGGTGTTTTTGTTTCTTACACGTAATTTTCTTCCTAACTACCCTTCTCTATTAGAACACATTCTCTGTCTAAAAACAACTGTAGTAGCCCCTTCTCCCTCCCAGAGAGAGAACAAAATACCAGGTCATTTTGAATTTTGGAAATTTAAATCACAAACAATATGCCTGAAAGCAAAAGGTAGAGACCTTTCTCACTGGTGTCAAAAGCATCATCATCAAGGTCATCATCAAAAATCTCTCGGCCATCTTCCACATAGCCAATTCCATCTGCAGGAACAAAATTGAATATTGAAATCAAATTTCTGAAAGTAACCAAAAATATTTTAGCCAAGACCAAAAATCACTTCATACCCACTCAAATGTTCTGTTGGCCTGTTCCATTTTTAGGTATAATAGAATCCTGTTCAAACAGGTGTACAACAGCAGATGTGGAGTCAAAATCAAAGGACATACAGTATACTACACTCAGCACGGTAAGCTAAGGAAACAATCTGGCCCATGGTATCAAAAAATTTGCCACAAAAGGTTGTTTTATTGCAGTTTTTCTCTACCAGAAGAATAAAAAATAAGACTCAAGAATATTACAAGCCCAGAAAGCCACCCTAGTCCACAAAGAAAAACTGGCAATAAAGCTGAGTGCAATTACAGAAGTAGAAACATATTCACAGGCATAGTCTGTATCTTCTTCCTGTGGTCAGTGCTAACCGGCCCAAGAAAGCAGAACCTACAACCAGGAAGCAGTGCACTTTTCAGAAGGGGCAGAAGAACAGTAGGACCAGCCTTTAATAGTACTCTCCACTACTCAAGTTACCTCTCACACCTACTACCTGTGTACTCCTCATAGCAACTCTATCAGATAGTTTTCTGGCCTCTATCTACATTACAGATGAAAAACTTCTGGCTCGCTGATATTAACTTGTCAAAGGCTACAGAATTGGAGAGTGGAAAAGACAAATTGAACCTGCATCTCTTAATTCCAGGTGATGTGTGTTGGCCTCACAGACATGTGGCTACTCCCAACTCCTTTTTGTTTTTTTTACTTCCTGGTGCTGGGGGGTTAAACCTAGCCTTGTCTACACAGCCACTTCCCAGTGGATATACACTATATCCTGTGGTATGTGCCTAGATTCTCCATAATGTCACCGATCAATCTTCTATTGTTCTGCGTCCTCATCCTCAAATAACCAAAGAAAATCCAAACCAAATGAGATCTTAGCAATGCTTCCCATCTGATCGGGCAAAGCAGCAACTCCACTACACAAAAGTTGGTGAGAAGCAACTAACATAGTACCTGGCAGGCAATTTTCTCCCACATACCATCATCCACGATCCAGTCATCATCCTGGCGTGCTTGAACCAGCTTGGAATACTGTTCTTCATCAACTTCTTCATAAACACTTGTGAAGTCCTCAACCTGCCATTATACAAGTTTGAAGATAAGCTTTACATGGAGTGAAAGTGTTAAAACAATTCTGATGAAAAAATTGTCAAACTGAAACTGGAATGGGAGCCTGATGGAGTAGCTGCAACCAAATCATGAGTTCTGACATTCAACACCACTACAGGGTTTTCCTTAAATAGACATCAATTAACTTAGTATTCCTTTTAGGTAGGTGTTAACATAAGATATTAAATGATTCCATTAGCATAACACACTTGTCATACCATCAATTACTCATCTACTTCATAAAAAACAAACTGAATTATAGCCAATTCTTCATTAGTTGCTTGGGGGATTATTCACTTATAATTTCTAGACTGGTTTCTCCTATACTTAGCAAACCTGCAGGGCATACTATCCTCCTTCTCCACTACCTAAAGCATGTCTTATCAAAAAATAATAATTCTTAATAACTGTTCAACCAACCAAATGAAACTGAAAGGTCAATCTTTATCTATACCCCTCCAGAAATTAGCAAAGCAAACATATTCTATAATTTATACCCAAACAAGAAGTCATTTGTCAGTGATCTGTTGCCTAACCACTGATCTCCCATTATTCTCAGGACTTGAAACTGCACAGGGAGTTAAACCTTGAGCTCTCTGAAAGGTTAAGTCCAGAGAGAGCAGCAAGTCCATCAATTACACTGGCTGCCTGGCTGCCAGAGGGTCCCACACCATGAACTACTGGTACTAACAAAGCAGTCCACCTCTGCAGTCAGAGTAACAAACAGAAAAGACGCATACCACTGCTGCAGCTACCATGAGACAGGTCACTGACCTTCCAGGTGATTGGTGAGCAAGATTCATCGACACCTCATTTTAAACTGCCCCCTTCTCTCAAGATTTCTGTTCTTCTGTTTTGTTTTCCTCTGGCAATCCTAAGGTACTCAACCACTGAACTACATTCCCATTTCCTCTCGTTTTTTTTGAGACAGGGTCTCATTAAGTTGCCCAGGATGGTCTTTAACTTGTAATCCTCCTACATAAGGCTCCTCAATAACTGCCTCCTGAAGCATGCACCATCACAGCCAGATTTCTGCATTTTTCAAGTAGGATACAAGGAAAAACAACTACCACCACCGTAAAAGCTAAGGCTGCAGGAAAAAACTTGGACACAGAGCTTCGAAAGCCTGATGGCCAGAGCTGACTGGATTTCTGCCATACCTACAAAGTATGTAATAATTACAGGATTAGGCTTCACTTCCAGATCCTTTTCATATACTCTACAGGGATTACTAGTGAATACTAATTTGGCCTTTCCCCATTTTGTAACAGAAACTATGCACCCTACCAAATTAAGTTTGTAACAACTCAAACACAAACTAGTCCAATTAATATTATTATGCTGACCAACTTTATTTGGGGGAGGCAGGCATAATTATCTTTATTGGTTAAAGGTGTATTTTATTTAATTTATTTATATTCTATCAAACAGACCAGAACACTATTTTAAAAGTTCATTTTGTTGTATCTTAAATTCTGCCAAATAAAGATGCCCTTAGGCATCTTTAAAAAATAAAAATAAAAATCATTTTAAGTAAAAAGTCATTTTGATTCTACTTGCAGTGCTGGGCATAGAACCCAGGCCCTCATGCATGCTAGGCAAGCAATCCACCACAGTGACATGCTCAGCCCAGTAGACTCTATCTTTAAAAATACTACTACTGTTCAGCATGAACTCTCACAGCCATACAATTAATAAGAGTCTTTAAAAGGGAAGTCAATCACATTGTGCTAACATCTGAAATGCCTCACATCATTCCTTTACAGAGGTACCTATACCAAAAATGGTCTACTCTTGCTTCATTGTACTACTTTGAACAACCTTTGATGATCTGATTGCCTCATATAACTTGAACATATGATGCCAAATGGCAAAAGTCCTCTTCCATTAGCTAAATTGCCCAGTGCAAGTCAGGGTTAAACATGTGCATTCCAAAGCCAGATTGCCTGACTTCCAATAAAAAATCTGCCACTATGACCTCACTCAGTTTCCCATGCCTCAGACAGCTTTGCCCGCAAAAGGTTGTTAATCACAGTATCTAATTTCACAAGGTTATTAGAAGAATTAAATGAATAAAATACTAGTAAAAGGACCTAGAACAGTGTATTAGCTCAGAAAGTATTATTTTCTAGTATTGACAGTTAAGATACTCAGAGGGCACTGAAGGTAACACTATACATTGCAATGCACTAAGTTTTTACCGGCAGGCCATAAACAGTGGTAGAAGCAAATAGCCAGAAGAGCATCAAATTCAGTCTTAACAGCAGGACATGACAGAAAGAAGGTCCTAGTCTCCACTGGCCCACACATTGCAAATGAGATTAGAAAAACAATTCTGTTTAAAGAAGAGGTACACAGACTGCTTAAGGTATCTTAAGGGTAAAGTAAAAGCACCTCTAAGTTACCCCAGTTAGGTCATGGGACTTATCACAGATGCAGTGTACTAAATAAGGAAAAAATATTGCATAGGTATGTTCATTTTTGAATTTAAAGTCTTCTATAAAGTGCCTTAAGGAACTTTTAAGAGTCGAGCACTCTCATACTTGTCCAATGCTAAGAAACTATATTATCTTGAAATATGTATTTCTAACTGGTGACAAAGGTGACAGAAGACTACCTGCAGGGTATGAATTAGATTGAGCACATAAGGAAAAACCAAAATAAGAAAAATTTACTTACTTCATATTTGTATTTCTCACCAGCTTTGGCCTTTTTCAGTCTTTCTAGAGCTTCCTGGCGTCCTTTCTTTGATTTTTTTTCTCGCCGAGCTCGAGAAGCCACTAAACTCCCTGAATCTGAAACAGCTGAAAAAAGCCAATTTACATGAGATGGTACAAAACTGTCAGCCATATTCCTTCAAAACAAATGAATGTGTTTTAGCCAATAATAACATGCAATCTTAACATTATACAAATGAATCCTTTTTATAATGTAAATAATTCACGAAGCTCATGGTCAAATATACAGATCCTATAGATCTTCAGAAATCCTAAGATCCAGTTACAACAACTGAAGCCAGTGTTATCCTTTTTCTCTAAAAAAGAGAAAAATCTCAAATTCAGCTGATATTCTGCAGAGACTTTAGAGAAAGGATAAAGCCCTTTAGCTAGCCCATGGCCTTGACATTAGAAATGACAGGCTGGGGCTGGAGATTTAGCTCAGCAGCATAAGTGCCTGCCTTGCAAGCAGGCAGTCGTGAGTTCGATCCCTGGTACTGATAAAAAGGAAAAAGACAAAAAAAAGAAATGACAGGCTGTAAATAATCCACTGGGTCAGAAAAGGACTATTCATTTTGTATTTTATTACCCAACACTCGAAAGGATTTAAGAATCATCTGCTCTTTGCAGATGCTCTTAGGTGCTATAAAGAGACACAAAGACCAAAATGAAATGGTTCCTGCACTCACAAAACTTAACATTAATTTGGAACGTAAGTAGCAAGTGGCTCTAAAATACTGTTTACAAGTAATACATATCCTAACAGGTTTATTTAAAATATCCATAATTTCAAAGCAGAAACAGAATTAGAGCTGAGAAAATTTAACAATAGTAGCTCTGAGTACTGATTCTACCGCTGATTTTAAGGCCTTTGTTAGTTGTCATAGAATGACAGCAAAAAATTACAAGGTTAAAATGTGCCTTGTCAAAAATTATTGAAATACCAAAAGGGCCTCTATTTATTCATTCAACTTTCTAAGTATTCACACTTTTGTCATTACGAACTAACCACTCCACACAAATACTGAAAAGAATTTATTTACAGAATTAGACTTTCATATATCAACTGATGAATAACCAACTCAAGACAACAAGGTTGCCTGCAAGACTTGACTCTAGGCTCAGCAGGACTGCCATCTATGTCTGAGAAGTTGAGTATTTTATTGTATTTGGAACTAATTAGCTTATTAAAAGGAAAAAATTAGAAAAGAAGGATAAAATGGAAACAAAGCTTTGTAAATGAGGAAGGGAACAGGAAAAAAAAGGAATCAAGATATATCATGTACAGGAACAAATTCCCTATAATGAATGGATCATTATGTACATCTCAAATCTACCAATAAACTAAATAATAAAAACGTTTGTATTAAAAGGAGTAGGTAAGGCTGGGGATATAGCTCAGTGGCAAAGTGCCTGCCCGGCAAGCACAAGGTCATGAGTTCGATCCCTGGTACCAAAAAAATAAAAAATAAAAAAAAATAAAATAAAAAGAGTAGGCAGAGGAAAGGAGACATATTGATAAGAGGTACCCTAAAAGCTCCAACCCTGCTGGAATATTCACATTAAGCTGTTTGAGTAAATGTTTAGCTGAAATAAAATATACAATTAAGAGAACATGTACCAAATACAAGCAATAAACAGTTTTGGACTGTATCTTTTTTTTTTTTTGTCTTTTTCATTTTTATCGGTACCAAGGATCGAACTCATGACCGCCTGCTTGCAAGGCAGGCGCTTATGCCGCTGAGCTAAATCCCCAGCCCCTTTGGACTGTATCTTAAAGGTGAAATGTAATTAGAAACTTTTTTCCCCAGCTTTCTGCAAACGGAATCACTCTAACATCTCAGTCTATTGTCTGAGTTCAAGTCCATTTTTAGAAAAGTATTAAGTAAAAATGAAACAATTCAGGTACATCATGACAGTCACAAAATCTTGGGTGCAATTCAAATGATTTTTAAAATCTTCAGCAGGTCTAACATAAGAAAGTTTCAGATTATCAAACAAATCTATAGGTCTTTACATGGGCTTACTCTACAGGCAACACAGTTCCATGTCACAGGGTTTGACATACAACTATTGAGTTAGAGTTGCTTATCCTCAAGGGGCTCACAGTCAAGTAAAGCAAAAGGATCTGAGAATATCATTGTAACATAAATACGGTGCCCCAGAAGAGATAAGAACACACTACAAGCAAACAAGAGTCATTAATTTTGCCTGGGAAATCAGGAAGGGTTTCACAGGGAAGATCTCCAATAGAAGCCTAGAAAGAGAAGTAAAATTACTACACACATCAGATAATTCAGTTATAAAGTGGCATAATCTGAGGAAGAAGCATGAGCCAAATTACAAAGGAATAAAAATTCAAGGTGTATTCAGAAACTGAGAGGAAGTCAGTGCAGAAGGTAATGTAACAAAGCTGCCCATGACGGCACATGCCTGTAATCCGGGCACTTGGGAGACTGAGGCAGGAGAATCACCACGAGTTCGAGGATAGCCTGAGCAATCTAGTGAGTTCAAGGCCAGCGGGGAGATATAGCAAGACCCTATCTCAAACCGTCCCTCCTCCAAAAAATAAAAAGTAACGTGACATGAGAGTATAGACTGAGTAGGAGAACCAAGAAATTAAGGAGAAGAAGCAGCATATCCCAGTTCTGCCACTGAGTGGGTGACATGAGATCTCTAGTTGACCAGTTAAGCAAACTATCTTATTGTTTTAACCTACCTAGCATCAAAACTGTGAAATTCTTCCGTACAAGGTGTGATACTTCTCGGAGCTTATGCCCCACTACAGAAGTTTAAAAAGGCAGGTATTTCTTCCCAGACATCCTTACAGCTAGGGCATAAGTCAGTGATGATGAACCATTTAGAGCTGGCTGTGGTACATGTGCCATAGGGCTGCCATCACTGGCATACACACGTAAAATAGGCTCTACTGATTACAAACATCTGCTCAGACTTTAAATCAGAGGTTAATGACCCAAAGGGGAGTATATGGACTTAAAGAAGATTCTAGAAGCAGCAACAGACTGATACTATGGGGCAACAGTGCCAAGCAATACCCCACTGCACAAGCTACAGCATCAAGTACTTGGTCCCAGTAGGCAATGACCTTCTCACTGGCCCAGTTCTGTGCACAATTTTAATCATGATTTCTCACTGAACAGCCCCCAGGTTGGCTTTCCAGTTCTCCTGCATTTCTGCAAACAACCCAATACTTGAATAAATTCCTTTTCTGCCCAAATCAGCTAGTTGGTTCCTGGAGCTTACATAACAAGATTCTGACTAATGCAGTCATAGGGTCCTTACACATGAAATAAGGTCACCATGCCTGTTTCATAAAGTTTTAAGGATTAAAGAAGGGTGGCTATCTTACTTTGCACTTAGAAATACAGAAGAAAATGTTTGTGCATAAATAGAGTGGTCAAACACATGCACGCATATATCTCACGTATACTACACCTAGTTGAAACACAGTGTAGCCTCAGAAAGCAAAAATAAAGCAAAGCAGTTTCTTCGGGGATAATACCCCACCGCATATAACTGGATGCCTGACACTTCAACTCCATGAAGACGGAAACCACATCAAGTCTACCCATCATCATTAATGCCAAAGCTTGGCAGAATGCTTATGCCTCTCAGGCACATAGTGTTTGCCGAATGACTGCTATATCCTTATTTTGATCATTAGATGCTCTCATCTCTTTTCATACATAATAACAGCTATTTATAGACCTTTCAACTTTTCACAGCTATTGTCATAGTGTTCCACCTTCTAACACTTAAAAAAAAAAAGCCTGCATAAGTGCCTGCCTGGCAAGCACAAGGTCATGAGTTCGATCCCCAGTACCAAAAACTAAAAACTAAAAACAATAAAAACTACAAAGCCTAGATTTTCTTTTGCTTTTCTGTTTTGTTTCTGATACCAGGAATCGAACTCAGGACCTTGCACTTGCCAGGCAGGTGCTGTGCCACTGAGCTGTATCTCTGGCCCTACATTTTCTTTTTTGGAATGTCTCCAGTGCTTCCTGTAAGAAAGAAAGCAAAAAAAAGCATAAAAAATCCAGTTACAAAACTAAAATATTTGCTTCAAAATTACCATCTAAAGTACCTCTACCTATCCTCAACCTGACAGAGACACTAGCCTGCAGCAGTTTTTCAGGTACCAATCTTTCAGTCTGCTCCAAAGGAAAAATTCCAGTCACAAGTCCCCAGCAACTACTTAATCAACACCATGACTTACGAAGGGCCTCAAGATTGCTCAGTATCCTTTAGGAAGTGATTTCTTGATGTTCATAAATGGCATACAGTTTTAGTATGAAAAAAGGGCTTAGTAGCAAATCACTGATAGAGGGCTGCAAAGACTGTTCACATACTCACTTCCTACATCCCATTTGTAATCCAGGCTGGTGGATCCTCCAAAATAAATTGTCTTTAAAAACGAAAGGCTAAAGAACAAATTGAAATCTGTGATTTACTACTAGTTGAATGCAAAGGAAGCTGATTAGGAAGCATGTTCTCATTAATGGTGATGTATCTGAGTGACAGGAGATGTGACCAAGAAAGTGAAGCATCTGATTTTAAGTTACAAGTTCACTTAAGTTAAATCACTCTTTAGTTGAACGCTGTTCAAAAATCAGAAATCAGACAAACTCATTTGCATTCTTGTATTCTATTTTTGGAAATAAAACCACTTACCACTGCCAAACTGAGTGATATACAGGACATCTGAAATACCGCTGAACTGATGCATTTTTTTCTAGAAACTTCACCAAAATTGGCTGGATTTGAGCACTATTTCTATGCACCGCTTAAAGAACTTTCCATAGAAGTATTAGAAAGGAAAAAATTGCTAATGCATAAAGTAGAAACCCATTTGTATCAGGTGACAACACTTAAGAGCTTGCTTTGCTCTTAAGTGATTTTTCTAGGACTTCCTAGAAAGGGTGACACTATTACGGTCTGTCCTACCATTCAAACTGACACTTGGGGTGGGAACAGCAAAATTCTTCCGGTCAAGACAGTGTCCCACAGCGACCAGTCGGGATGAAGTTCTGCCTAGCACGTGCATGAGACTTACCGAAGGAAATAAAAATGAGTAGCGAGACTGAGGCAGAGGTGAGGGACCCTCTCAAACAAAAAAATCTTGCAGTGGGTGACTCGGGTTTGTCAAGAGTGAATCGCCCGCCCTGGAAGCCTCTTCCGAACCCCGAACCCCGCAAAACTACCAAGATCTGCACTTAGACCGACCAGCGGAGCGAGCCAAACATGCGCCTCCCTCTGAAGAAATAAAGCAGACACTCCCACACACACACACAACACCTGCAATCATACCACGACCCCCACTCTCCCAAACCGGTGCCCTAAGCGCGGAGTTGTCCTCACCGCTCGCCCCCAACTCGTAGTCCTCGCCGTGAACAGGCGCCATGGTTTCAGTCTCCCGATTCCGCGCCAACAAGCCCGAAACTGGCGCGGGGGCCGAGATAGGCGCCAGCCCGAAAGCCAATCAGCGGCTTGGGAGGCTGTGGACTTCCGCCCGGAAGGCCACTGACGTGCCTCGCCGCGCTGCGCCCCGCCCCCAGCGTTCCCGCGGGCGCGCGTTTGGCGCCCTGTGATGACCCCTTAGGGAAAAACTGGAGTTGAGGCGAACCCACGAGGAGAGCGGAAGAAAGAGGCGGTCGGGCGCTGAAAAGGAGCTTCGCGGAGACTTTGCGCAGGCGCGCGCACGCACGCTATTGGGACAAGATTTGAGCGTGAGAATAGGAGTTCTCTGGTTCTGAGATAATCTTCCAGAAAAAGACGTGCGGGCGGGCAGCAGGTGGGCGTGGTTGGACAGGGTTCTTCCCAGCCTGGGAAACCGACTGCCTCCTGGTGCGCACCGGGACTTTTGCCCAATACTTTGCTTCTCAGAGCAGAGTGTGAAAACAATCGCTGTGTGAATATGTGTGTGTGTGTGTGTGTGTGTGTATTTAAAGATATATGCACTATTTTAACCAAATGACTAAAAGTAGCCTCCCCATTATGCAGCATAACTTCATAAGTCTCCTGATATAGGCACTTGAAAAAGAAACATCACCTGTGTGGTTGTAAAAATGCTCTAACCTGAATCTAACCATAAAGATACAATCAGATGTGTTCAAAGTACACAACAATCTACGACATATTCAAAGTGCAAAACGACCTACAAAATATCAGGTCTGGACTCCTCCAAAATGTTAATGTTGGCTGGTCCGAAGGTAGTGAGTTATCTCAATTGATTGTTCACAGTCAGTACAGATTGAACTCCTTGTTCTACTCTTTCCCCCCTTCTCACTACTGCACTTGACTAGTCTTAAAAAAACAAAAAAAAATTTTTTTAAATGTTAATGTTTTGAATGACAAAAATGTTTTGAAAGACAAAAAGGGCGTTAGATTCTTGTATAGTTTGTGCAATATAGGTAACCTCATTTTATCTTTCTCAAATTAGATGTAATATTTCTGATTGCTTGGAAATTTTTTTCTTTTTAGAATTCATTTAACCTGGGGGTTTAGCTCAGTGGCATTAAGTGCCTGCGTGGCAAACGCGAGGTTATGAGTTCGATCCCCAACCCACACAAAAAAATTAGAATTCATTTAACATGATAGGATATGATTGATATATTGTGATACATAATATGTAATAATTCACACTTTTACGCACTGTTTAAAGTTCTACTCCAGATTTATGCCTACATTTTCCTTTTAAAAACTGTTAGAAGGTTTATAGTTTTATTATTAAATTTATTCCTCACAGGAGGGAACTATTTTGGTTAGGCATCAGTAAGAACCAACTCTCCCATTCCAGTTTCACCTGTCTTACCATTTTCTTCATGGAAATTTAAAACTAAAAATTTCAAATCTTATTTCTTTTTCATTATTGCTATGGTCTGAAAGTTTGTATCCCAAACTTCACTGTTGAAACCTAATCACCAGTATGGTTGTATTAGGAGGGGGAGCCTGGAAAGTGATTAGGTCAAGGGGAGGTGCTAATGAATGAGATTAGTGTCTTATAAAAGAGTCTCCAGAGAGCTATCTTGCTATTTCTGCCATGTAAGGACACAGCAAGAAAGTGACCTCTGTGAACCAGAAAGCAGACTTTTGCCAGACTGAATCTACTAGCATCTAGACTCTTGTGGCTCCCAGCCTCTAGAACTAGGAAAAACTAATTGTGTTCTTTACAAGCCACCATAACAATTCTTTGTAAGCCACCATTACAATTTATGGTATTTTCTTAGAGCTGCATGAACATAGTAAGACAACTACAGACTTAGTTTGGGGGCCAGGACCTGTAGAACAGTTTCATATCATGATACAACTTCTGGTCCAGCACATTCAGGTTACGACTCCCGATAAAGCAGCATATGAGATAGAAATATTCGCAGAAGTTATTCCTAAACCAGGAGTTCTATCAATAACTTACATGTATGTGAAAGTCTACTCAACCTGCATAAACAAATAACACTGAATAAACTAAATGCAACATCGATTTAACTTCTGCATAGAGTAATCCCAAACTATCTGTGCCTGCTCCAGCACCACCAGGAAGGAAAGGAATGCTACCAAAAGGACAGATGACGCTGATTGTTAAATCTTCAGGAGCTTTGTAATCTGCATGTTAAACTGTCAATAAACTGAAATCAGCCAAGTTGTGGTATTTATAACATGAGAATTGGCAATTGATACAAATCAGAGCTTTTTTTGCTTTTGTGGATGACAGAGACTACCAGCAAACCAGAAGAGTAAGAATGTGGCTTCTTAGTGTTCATGCCACCGCCATAACATCCCTTTGCTGCCTGCTTCAGACTTCTACAAGAGAAAGGAATATTGAGCATATTTACAGATGCTATTTGTGAGTTTCTCTTACATTTATCTAAACCTAATTCTGTGAATTATACTTATTTTACTTTAGTTATTGAAACTCAGTCTAGTAAACAGCAGATGGGGATCCAGCCCATTTCCTTCTGGGCAGCATTTTCTTCAGAGCCACTGCAAAGGTCAGTGTCCTGTCCATCTGCAAGGATTGCAGATTCCCTTTACAAGATGTCATTTCAGCAGTGATTTGACCTTAGCATCTCCCTTTGTGCCTGGTTCTCTTGGGTCCCTCGTAATACTATGAGATATATGATATTCTCTCACAAACTTCTTTTCCTCCTCCTCCTCATCCCCTTTCTTCTCCTCCCTCTCCCTTCTCTTAAATCAGAAGTCAGTTTCTGTTGCTTGCAACTGAAGTCCCTGACTGACACACCATCCTGTTTCTTTGCTTAGTCTCAACCCATACTCAGGAATCCCCAGCTAGGATTTCAGATACATCAGGGCAGAAGAATGCTAGTTAGAAGATGAAAGCATTCCAGCATTCAGTAAATGACTATTTCTACAGTCAATTAGTAGGTGCTTATTCCAGTTAAAACCTCTTAGGAGTTTAAGAAAACTAGGACTGTCCCCAAGAGACCATCTCAGGTTGTCCTAAGGGAATCAGGTCAACATGCATAATACTGAGAACAAGACCCTGGGCTACAAAGACCAAGAAGGGGTGACCCAAGAAGCCTTCCCTTTAAGAGACCAGCCCTTGGCACTCCCAAACCACATTACCACACACAAACACTCTCTAACATAGGGCTTGACCTTCATAAATACATCTCTAACTTGTCTTTCACAGTATTAAAAAGTAAATTAGACATTTTCATTCACTCATCCCTGTCAGACGAAATAATCTCTTTGAAGATATGGTTGTCTAGGTCTACTAAATTGAGAGGAGGAGGAGACACACTATAAATAGCCATTAATCATCCCATTTTGTAATAATTTCTTTTTCTGATCTGTTAATAACAATTCAGCTATTGATTTCAGAAAAACCAATAGCAATTTAAATGTGTGCTATCCATGTAGATATTTTACCACACAGTATGCCCTGTGAGATTTAATCTTGGATGAAGACTAGAATATGAAACAGTGAGTTTAGAGGCTATATTCTTTAAATCCTATCTGCTATTGCCCTAATGACTTCTAGCCAGAAAACTTATTTTCTTAGGATGATCATAAAAATTAATTAACAGTAGCCAGCCATTCTGGCACACAGCTATAATATCAGTACTCAGGAGGCTGTGGCAGGAGGATCGCTGTGAGTTCGAGGCCAGCCTGGTATTGAAAATTTCAATATCTAGTACATAGTGAATTCAAGTTCAGTCTGAACTATATTTATGGCAAGCCCCTATCTCAAAAACAATTCACAAAGAATAAAAACAGAGATATCTTCATATACTGTGTATCTTAAGAGTACTAATTAAGTACCTAGAGTGAAAATTAACCGTCTTCTGGTATCTCTTTTATGTGGAGCTAATTTTAGGCATGCAGGCATCTGTATTCCTTCCTCAGAGCTCCAAATATATGATGCCCTTGGTCCTGCTCTCCTAGAAAACAATGTTAGATCTGTACCCTCAAGTGATTCAGCATGAATTACTGATCAATGGGAAGATTCTTTGTGATAACAGCCTTGGCTCACACCATAAATGTGCCATGTTATTGTAATACTTACCACCAAAGACTAACAGGTGTGCTAACCCTTCAGAACTTTCTGTATGAACAGCCAAAACTAACACGAATGGAAAACTAAAACTCATCTAGGAAGTATTAAAGTCGTTGAAATGAAGCTAAGAAATACGAATTAGAATGTTGACTATGCAATTGTTTGATAATGAACTTCAGCAGAGAATGACAACATGAGGGTTTCCAATGTTACATCTAGTCAATGTTTTAGAAAACAGTGGTTCTCAGCCTTAACTACAGATTAAAATCATATGAGCAATTCTTCAAAATTTCAATATCTAGTAGCTTCTCAGGCCTATTAAACCAGAACTTTCAAGAATAGGATTCCAAAACACAACCAAAGTTGAAAATACATGGTCTAGATTGAAAGGTTCTTGCCCTACTATAAATTATTGTAAAGTTATGGCAATGGTCTAACGCCGCAAAAGGCCAAAGAGGGAATATTTACCCTGAGGACCATTCCCTCCTTCTTCCCCTTTGGCCCAAATTGTTACTTTCTCTCTGGTTTGCAAGTGAAGAAAATTCCAATCATCAGTTCCAGTCATCAATGCCCATGCCATGCACCACTTCCAATCAGAGGTCATATAACCCTCTGCCCCTCTGCATCCGGAGAAGGAGAAGGAGAAAGCCAGAAAGCCAAACCCGCTAGGGTGGTGGGCTTCTCTCCTCTCAGAGTCCTCAAATAAATGGGCACTTTCACTTTCTCTTTTCTTCTGCCTCTCTATTGCACCAGAAAACTCTAACTTAGATGAGGAATTACTAAACCTTCAGTGGCATGACTAACCTCTACAGAAATATTCAGTCAAACAATACTTGATCCCGAGTGCTTGGACATGCCTCTTTTGTAAGGAAAGAGGGTTCATTTCCTACCTGTACCATAGCATTTAGCATTATGGCTTCCTTTGAGTTGAATGCCATCTGGGTTACCCAAAAGAGTTTAAGTAAGGTCAGCAATAATTTTATTAGAAATAACACGAAAGATTCTGTCTTTGTTATTACGCATCTGTCACCAACAGAAATCACAATCTGACAGGACTTCTATGGTTTGTTTTTTTGTTGTTGTTGTTTTGTTTTGTTTTTGGTCTT